GGGGCGGAGCGGGGCGGGAGCACTCCAAACAGGAACGTGGGGTGAGCGGCTACGGGAGCTGCGGGAACAGCACACTGCCGGAAGGGACCGAGACACACTTCCGGACGCCCCGCCTCGCCGCGCAGATCTCTGTTCACCGATAAGGGGCCGGGTGGGTCTTGTCAGCGACTTAGGGCGGGTCTGCTCCGGGTCTGGACGAGGAGATTGGTGGAAGGAACATCCTCTCCTATTGCCGTCCGCTCTTCAGTGCCACAGCCGGCGTCGTCCGTGGTGCTATACCCTCCCGGCTGCCCCTCCCTCAGGGGCCTGTGGCGAGTTCGTAGCGACCCTCGGAACTCCGGCGCTCGGACCGCAGTGGCCTTTGGTCGCCGCCGGGCCGCTCCTCACTTCTTTGCATTCCTGGCTTTGTCCCGCTCAGATCGCACGGAACAGAGCCGAGCGGCGGGCGCAGTGCAGTCTAGCGTGGCCGAGCGGCTCTGCGCGAGCAATCTAGCCGGGTCCAGCGGAGCGCAGCGCGCCGAGCCACTCCGAATATCGCTGGGTAGCGCTTTAAGTGCGGTAGCCAGCATGAAGCGGGACCGGCTCGGCCGCTTCCTGTCGCCTGGGACGGCCCGGCAACGCGGGAGTTCGGGCGGCGGCTGTGGCAGCGGCCGAACTCGGGGTCGCCCTTCCCGCACAAGTGGTGCGTGCGCTGACGGGGCGGCGGCATTAGAGGCGGCGCGACTCAGCTGGGGCTCGGCGCGCGCTCGCGGGGATGCGGGCGAGGACGGTGTGGACGAGGCAGGTGGGTCCCACGCGTTCTCTGGCCCTGGCCGTGAGCCTGGTGATTCAGAGCGGAGACCATGTCTCCCATTTAGGGAGGACCAGGACACTGGCTTCTACTGCAGTGACCTTTGGTCAGACTACAGACCCTGTGCCCTGGGTTTCTGCTGTTTAGTGCTCAAGATTTGAAGTTAGGTATGGGCTTCAGGTCTGCTCCTCAAGCTGTGTACTGTTGGGATAATTGCTTAACTTCTCTAAACCTGTTTCTTGTTGGTTAAAACAGATCCAAAACGTGGTGAGCACTGAGTTAAATGAATTGCTGGTTCCTTGCCGGGCTTAGGGTTTGTGTGTAAGCAGCAGCTGGTTAGGGAAATAGCATCACTGGGCTTGCCATTTGTGTGGTGCTTTTTGCCCATTTGAGAATGACTTTTCATGCACATTCTCCTTTAGTCCCCCAGGGGGCAGGCAGTCAAGAGGCATTGTCCACATTGGGCAGGCAGGACACCTAGGGACGGACAGTAAATCAGTTCCTTGGGCACTGCAGACATATCTTCAGGATGAGGATGCGTGAGCAGAAACCAATTTCCATCTTCAGTGGAGGCATTTGGGATCCTTTGAAAGGATCTGGGCACAGTGTCACATGCCTGTCATCCCAGCCTTGGGAGGCTGAGGGTAGCGGATTAGGAGTGAGAGATCAGCCTGAGCTACACAGTGAGACTTTCCCAAAAAAAAAAAAAAAAAAAAGAAAGAAAAAAAATTGAGAGTTCTTGACAGTATCCCTCCAAAAAGCTGGATGTTCATGAGGAATGCCAGCTCCTGAGCTCCTAGTGTGTTGGGGAAGCACAGGGAGGGCATTTCAGGTGCTGGGAGGCTAGTGGGACATGTGGGCCTCATACTGCAGGTGCCTCAACTGACTGTTACATCTGCTGCTTTGTCTAGGAGCAGGCCGAGCTCTTGCCATGGGGCACTGTCGCCTCTGCCATGGGAAGTTTTCCTCACGGAGCCTCCGAAACATCTCTGACAGGGTGCCTAGGGAGAGCTCAGAGAGGCTGTCCCCAGGGGAGCATATCTTCATCAGGGACTTCCAGCATCTGCTGGGTGTTGCTGTGCACCAGGACCCAGCCCTGCCTCAGTTTGTCTGCAAGAACTGCCACACCCAGTTCTATCAGTGCCACAGCCTTCTCAGGTCTTTCTTACAGAGAGTCAACGTCTCCCCAGCTGGCCAGCGGAAGCCTTATCCAAAGTAGGCCTTTGTTGGATTGCTTGGGACCTTCAGGGGTTCTGTATCCTGTGTGCTAGGTGCTGATTTAGGACAGGGAATACCATGGTGGGGCTCTGGTGGAGTGGACAGAAGCCATTTTAGACCCATCTATGCTACTGCCATGCAGTGAACAAGGAGATGCTAGGGTGGCAAGGTTTGCATAGGCCTGAGGGTGAAAAGAAGCTATTAGAAGGTAGGGTACAAGGCTGCTAGTAAGCAAAGGGTTGGGGGAGGCAGGTAGGGAGATTTGAGACCTTGAGAAGCTCCTAAACTGTGGCCACACTGATGCTTTGCAGGGTTGGTGCTCAGCCCCCCACAGTGGCAGAGGAGGGAGCATGCATGGGTGAGTCTGCTGCTGGTGTCAGGGTGGGCTCTTCAGTTGGGCTGGGTACTGGCCAGCCATGGAACTGATGTCTCTGTTGATTTTTCTCAGTGGATCTGATCACCTCAAGCCCCCGGTGCCTGCACAGCTTGGTGGGCTGGGTACATGAACATGCAGCCAGCTGCGGGTCTCTGCCCAGCCTCCAGAGGACACTCTCCTCTGAGTACTGCGGCATCATCCAGGCTGTATGGGGCTGCGACCAGGGCCATGACTTCACCATGGACACAGACTCCAGCTGCAGAGCTCTCTTTTTGGACAGTGCATTGGCAGTGAAATGGGCGTGGGACAAGGAGACATCACCACAGTTGGCCCAGAACCCTGAGTTGAACCCCACTGGAGCTGCCTCTCAGCTCTGCCCGGCGAGAGGAACCCCAGTTGGAGCTGAGACCAAGACACCGCCCAGTGTGGATGTGGCCCTGCCGCACTCACATGGAGATTCTGTGGGACATGGGTCAGGCCCCTACACTCAGCCAAACTTGGCTCCCAGTGAGGCCCCAGGTAGGCAGGCACCTGTGGCTTGTGTTAGACCAGGATTCAGTATTCTGACTGGGGTAGTCTTCAGCAAAAAGTAGATGTATGCAATGTCTGGATGTAGATCATGGTGTAGCAGAGGGAGCTGGCAAGAGAAAATGGGGAGCCAGCTTCAGTGCTTCCCCCTGGAAACTGTGGCTGTTAAACATCTAGGAACAGGCTGGTACTACCAGCCTGTCTTGACTTCTTCTTCCTTTACAAGCAGGCCCAGTTCACCAGTTTGTGTAAAGACATGCTTATCTGGCATTCAGTCTTCCTCTAAACTTGTCTTTAGGCCAGAGGGTACTGGTTGTTCTTTCGAGAGAACTGAGGGAGAAAGAAGAATGGAGCTCTTGTCTATAGGACATGGGGGCAGAGAATGAAGCTGCTGCTTTACCATAGTGTGGGCTAGTGTGGTTGCCTCTTCTGCTGACTGGCCCTTCTGTGGGGCTTGAACCCCACCCACATGTGTTGTGGGTTGGATGCAACTACTTTTAAGCATCATGTTAGGAGAGTTGGGGCCAGCTTCCTGCCCGCTTCTGATTTTCATAAACTAGTTTACCTGGCTACCTATGGGTGCTCAGCTGGTTCCATCTGCAAGTCCACAATAGAAATAATACACAGATGAACTATGGCTGTGAAAAAGGACCTGGGAGGATGTCACAGGCATCTTAGAGTACTTGGTTTTATAAAATGTGTGCATAAGCTCTTTTGATAACAACAATCTTAAAAATGCCCTAAAATACCCAAAGAGTGGGTCATCTCCACCCAGAACAATGACCTAGGTCTGAGAGGGCTCAGTTTAATGACCATGGTGCCTTTGGACAGTGGTGGCATACTGGGGATTAGGGCTGAGGATAGGGATACTGAAGCCAGAGGCCTCCTGGCTGCATAAGGAAGGCTATTTCCTTAGACAGGGACATAGCCTCCTTATAGGTAAGGCCTTTTCTATGCTTGGTGTTGGTAACCAGAGCCTGTTTTTTGTTTCCCAGGGCAACTGGGTGAGAAGCAGGTTCCATCTTCAACCTCGGATGATCGGGTAAAAGACGAGTTCAGTGACCTTTCTGAGGGGTGAGAGAAGAGTGGGTTTAAAAAGCCTAAAATTTCTCCTTCAAAAACCAGACTCAGCCTCCCTAGGGATGCTACCCTTTGTTGGCATGTTTGCCTTCCCTCCTTCTGAGGTGGGGAAAAGAGGAGTAACCAGGGGAGTTCTGAGGCCTCTGGCTTTTAATTGGACTTTCTGGTCCCAGAGGTACCCAGACACAGTACACTGCAGGGGGAGCACAGGGCCAATTCTGACCCAAAGCATTTTGGAGTTGCCTCATTTAAACTGCCCTGGGTTGTTCCTCTGCTGCTGTCTGTGTGCTTTCTCTTTAAAGGCCTTAGTTTTGTGTCAACTCCAGATGCCACTAGAACAGAGGATGCTAGATTCTAGCCCTTTGGCATGGTGTTATTGAGACTTGAAGCAGAGACTGTGTAGGGTGAGGAGATGACAGGCCTGTCTTGGAAGGGCTATATCAAAATCTGTTAGCTCCGGACTAAGAGCCACTCAGTTGCTGTTTACCCCCTTCCACCCTGCCCCATGACCTTATTTCATCCAAATAAGGAGGGATAACCTACAGGTTCAACACCTATAAGGACCAGGTGTATCTCTGGGCTATCAGACTGACAGTAGCTTCAGATCTTCCTCTATCCAGGCAGCTAATGGCCTGTGGGGAATACTGTGAGCTTGTTAGACTGACTCTGTACTGCTCAACAGAGATTAGTGATTCAAGTTTAGGGTGAAGGTAACATCATTTTTGTACCTTTGTCGACTTTGACACAGTGGCTGACAGTGAGTCTGTGCTCACAGTTGTTGGGTCAAGCAGTCACTTTCTGAGTCCACCTTCAAGAGTTCATATCTCTTCAGCCCTGTAAATAAGGTCTTTCAGAGTTTGGGTCCTTGTACTAGGAGAGAGTGGCTTATGGGGAGGAGGATTGCTAGCTTGTTTGATTTCAGTGACCCTAGCCTGCGCTTTCAGTTAGGACGTGGGTTGGGGATTTGGAGATTCTAGATTTCTTAGGACATTTTCAGGAGAAGTGAAGTATGGACTATGGGGGCTGTAGTACCTTCAGACAGAAGGTCTTGTTGAGTTTGTCCTCCACCCAGGTCAGTGCTTTGCTGAAAGCTTTCTCATCTTTCTTAGAGACTTCCTGAGTGAAGATGAGAATGACAAGAAGCAGAACCCACAGTCCTCAGACGAGTCCTTTGAGCCTTACCCAGAAAAGAAGTAAGAGTATAGCCCTCTCCAAGCACATGGGGTCTGGGTGGTGGTAGACCATTCAGCCTTGGGGCACATGGGAGTCAGGTATGGAAGTGAGATGCAGAGGCTCCTATTTCCCAACTGGCCTCACTCGGCTCACTTTCTGCTTTTCTTTTGGCCTCATTTCCCAAGTCCAGTGAGTATGACTTTTTTTTTTTTTAATTACCTTGATTGATGGCTTTTTTTTTAATTGCTTTGATTGATTGATTTTGTGTATGTGTGTGTACATGCAGGTCAGAGGACAACTTGCAGTTAGTTCTAGCCTTCCACCATGTTGGCCCTGGAGATCAGACTCAGGTTGTCAGCTTGGTGGCAGTCACCTTTTACCTGCTAAGCCATCTTGCTGGCTTCTGAGTGAGCCAGGAGGTCAGTTTGAAAGGCCAAGTGGGCAGCTAATCTGATAGCATTCCTGGGCTGTTGGTCACTCTTCTTGGTGGTTTAGGGACCTGGTATAAGGATGGATCATGAGGTGGCAGGCAGTGCTTTTGGCAAGACAGCCCCCTTAGTGGGCTTTCACCAGTCCTGTTCCTAGTCTGTTCTTCCGCATCTCCCTGACCCTGCTTAGCTGTTCTTTTGCTTCCTGGCTCATGCCTTCTCTGACCCAACCTGGTGACCACTCGAGTCTGACTTTGGCAGTCATTTCTTTGACCAGGCAGCCATTGTTCATTCTTTGTGGAGTTCTTTTGTAACCTTCCTTTGGCTTTCCGTTTTTAGGGAGTTGTTTTCTCTCTAATCAAATAGGACCCTAACAAGAAGAGAGAGCTGGCTTTCACTTAGGTACTTTTCCTCCCAACCCTGTGCCAGAAATACCCACCCATCCGACAGCTAGTTGGTGACTGCCTCACTGCCTTAGTGCCCTCAGCCTTGCGTAGTTCAGAATGAAACTCCAAAGAGCACGCAGCTCTGGACACCACACTGTCAGCCAAGAAACTCCTACAAAAAAATTGAGATGTAAACTTGGCTTTCTTTTTTTTTTTTTTTTTTTTTTTTTTTTTGTCTTTTTGAGACAGGGTCTCCCTGTAGCCCCAGCTGTCCTGGAACTCACTATGTAGACCAGGCTGGCCTTGGACTCAGAGAGAGCCACCACGCCTGGCAAGAAGTAAACTTGGCTTTCTTTTAAGTGTTAAGTTCTAATGTTCCTTATGGAAAGGGAAATAGGAGTAGAGTAGGAGGCATTGAGAGATCAGAATCAGAATGTAAGACCAAACAACATGGCACTCTCAGGCCCCACAGGACAAACAGCTGACTACAGGCCAATAGGGAACAGCTTCAGGAAACCATGGCCAGGCTGCAATCTGGGCTGTCATAAGGAACCTCTGCTCCCTTTTCAGTTATCTCTAACTGGAGCCACTTTTGTGGGTAGTTCTGGGGGCCAGGGCTGGGATAGGAGGGTTAGTGGGTTTCATTTTCAGAAACAGGAGGAAGGGGTTCTGCTGAGCTCCTATTGCTGAGATGTGATCAGCATGCTTTACTGTGCACTTAATTTGACTGGTAAGGACTTGAGGTAGAGACTTGTACTCCAGGTGGGACAGGAGACACATTTTTACAAAAAGATTTTGGGGCTGAGCTGCTCTTGCAGAGGACCTGGGTTCAATTCCCAGCACCCACATGGCAACTAACAACTTCAGTCCATAACTCCAGTTCCAGGGGAATTTGATGCCCTCTTCTGACCTCCATGAGCATTGGTGCACTTACATACATGCAGGCAATACACTCATACACATAAAGAATAATAGAAATAAATAAATGAGGTCAGATGTGGTGGCACATGCCTTTAGTCCCAGCACTCAGGAGGCAGAGGCAGGTGGATCTCTGAGTTCAAGGCCAGCCTGGTCTACATGAGTTCCAGGACAGCTGGGGCTACAGGGAGACCCTGTCTCAAAAAGACCAAAAAATAATAAATGAGGTCAGGTGTGGTGGCACATGCCTTTAATCCCAGCACTCAGGAGGCAGAAGCAGGTAGAGCTCTGTGAGTTCCAGGCTAGCCTGGTCTACCTAGTGAGTGCCAGGCCAGCTGGGGCTATAGGGAGATCCTTTCTCCAAAAAAAAGACACCCCCCAAAAATAAATGAATGAATAAATAAAAGATTTTATGTGTATGAGTGTTTGACTGCATGTATGTATGTACACTATATGCATGCCTGGTGCCCATGGAGGCCAGAGGAAGGTGTCAGATCTCCTGGAACCAGAGTTAAGAGATGGTTGTAAGCTGTCATGTGGGGGCTGGGAACTGAACCTGGGTCCTCTGCAAGAGCATTAAGTGCTTTTAACTGCTGAGCTGTCCCTTTAGCCCACCCCCACCCCCACCCCACCACCCTTTATTTTGAGACAGAGTCTCACTGTGTAACCCTGACTATCCTAGAGCTTGCTGTGTAGGTGAGGCTGGCCTTGAACTCAGAGATCACTCCTGCCTTTGCCTCTTTAGTGCTGGGATTAAAGGTATGTGCCACCATGCCAGGCTGAAATACATTTTAAGGCACCTTTAGTAAAAGGAACTATTTTTTTTATTTTTTGGTCTTTTTGAGATAGGGTCTCCCTTGTAGCCCCAGTGGTCCTGGAACACACTATGTAGACCAGTGATCTTGAACTCAGAGATCTGCCTGCCTCTGCTTCCTGAGTGCTGGGACTAAAGGTATGTGCTACGACACCCAACCCAAAAGGAACTATTTCTAAAAATATTTATTATTTTTATTTTTTGTATGTGAGTGTATTGCTTGTGTAAGTGCACCCGTGTTGTGTAATGCCTGCAAAGGTTAGAAGAGGGCATTGGATCCCTTGGAACTGGAGTTATGGATTATAGTTAGCCTGTATGTAGGTACTGGAAATCAAACCCAGATCCTCTACAAGAGCATCCAGCCCTCTTAACAACCGAGTCATACCTCCAGCCCCAAAAGGAACTATTTTAGTGGAAACTGGACTTTGGAGGTGGGACTAGATTTAGTGGGTACCGTCCGTCATCTGTTGGCCGTGGTGCACACTGGCCTTGGTGCTTCTTGGTCTTAGGCACTGATCCTACAGTATGAATCCCACCTGGGGACTTTTGAGCCCAAGCAGCCCTGGGTTTATGTGTCTATTTGCAAATTTGCCTTTTTAGCCCTCTCTCCTAGTCTTTAGTATTTTGGCTAGCTTGGTCCTCAGCCTGGGTGATTAACAGAACTTCAGTGATGGGCTGATCAGAGCATCATGGTTCATAGCAAAGGAGAACAATTAAGCCTAGAAGACAGGACAGACACAGGATTGGAGGTGTTTACCTATGGAACATACTGCATGGACTCCAGAGCTATCTGCTCAAAACACAGGGGGTCTGGTGTTTGAGGAAATGGCCAGTCACTGACAGGAAAGGTCTATCCCACTTAGCAGGGTAGAGGCCAGGAGAGGGCACTGAACAATGATCAGTGATCAGACAGGGAAATAAAGAACAATAGCCTACGTATTATAGGGTTGTTTTTGTTTGTTTGTTTGTTTTTTATGTTTTGATTTTTTTTGAGATGGGGTCTTGCTATGTAGCTCTAGCTGGTATGGAGTTTTCTGTATAGCCCAAGCTAGGCTCAAACTCAACTTTGTAGTTCAGGCTAGCCTTGAATTGAAGATCCTTTTGCTTTAGTTTCCTGAGATATGTAGTATGTGTCAACACCATGCCTGGCTACTTAAAAAAAATTTTTTTTTTTGGAGACAGTCTCATGTATTTCAGGGAACCGATGACAGACCAAAGTAAGGGTACCACCAAAGTTCAGTTTGGTGAACCGGTGAGTTTTATTGGGGTTACTTACAGAAATATGGGTGAGAGGGTTACTTATAGGAGCAGAAATGACTCAAACACAGCTGCATCACCAAAAGCCCACACAAATATGGGTGATGGCTCACAGAAGCTGGAAACCTACAGTTCACTTGAAGGCAGCTCACAGGTTGGAGAGTACTTTTTCCAAACAGCTTGATTGGTCTGAGCCTCTTCTAGGCAGTTTAGCTTGTCAGCAATCCTTATTGGGACTGAAGGACCTTGTTTATGTGTGGTCAGTTTTAGGGACTTCCTGAAGTTTTGGAGTTGTTTACTTTCTGAGCTTAAGGAGATTTCCTGCAAGATAGAACGTTCTATCTCCCTTTAGAATATCTGTGTCTTAATGAGCTTCCCTCTAAAATGGAAGGTTTTTACCTAGAAGGAAATTGCTACACACTATGGCTGAGCATGACCTTTAACTAATGATCCTCCTACCTCCACCTCCCAAGTGCTAAGATTATAGGTGCCACCATGCCCAGCTTAATTTTTTTAATTAACCATTTTGACACACAGTACTATTAAGCACATTCACCGTAGTGAACCATTACCACTCTTGCTAATTCCAAATTTTCTACCATCCTGAACAGAATCTGTGTGCCCCATTTCCCTTCCTCTTCTTAGGCCCTAGCAGCTACTAACCTTTCCCCTTTGCAACTGGCTTCTTTCTCTTGGTGTAAGGCATTCATCCATCTAGTGTATCAGAATCTCAGTCTTTTTTTTATGGCTGAATAGAGACCATCTTATGAGTCTACCATGTTTGGTTGCTTTACTATTTTGTTATTGTGAATGATATCATGAACAATAGTGTTATATATGAATCCCCATTTTTAACCATTTAAGTATATACTTAAAGTGGAATTTCTGGGTCATAAAATTATTTTCTGTTAACTTTTGGAGGAACCACCATCTGTCTTCCAGAGTGGCAACAGTTTTACTTTCCCACCAACAATGCAAAGGGCTCCTCATCCTGAGTTGCAGTATGATTTCCATTTCCTGTTTTTTTTTTTTTTTGGACAGGCCATTGTGATTTGTCTTCTAATAACATGATGAGCTCTCCATGCCATCACTGACCATTTTTTAATCTTTAGAGAAACAGCAAAGATTATATGTGCCACTACATGCAGCTTCCATTTTGATTTTTTTTTTTTTTTTTTGTCTTTTTGAGACAAGGTCTCCCTGTAGCCCCAATTGACCTGGAACTCACTGTGTAGAACAGGCTGGCCTTGAACTCAGAGATCTGCCTGCCTCTGCCTCCTGAGTGCTAGGATTAAAGGCGTGTGCCATCACACCTAGCCTCCATTTTGACTTTTTTTTTCCTGGTCCTTTTGAGACAGGGTCTCTCTGTAGCCCCAGCTGGCCTGGAACTCACTATGTAGACCAGAGTGGCCTTGAACTCAGATCCACCTGCCTCTGCCTCTTGAGTGCTGGGATTAAAGGGGTGTGCCACCACACCTGGTGTCATTTTGACTTTTAAAAAATATTTAATGTGTATGAGTGTATTGCCTGCAAGTGTGTAAGTGCACCCATGTGTAATGCCCACGGAAATCAGAAGAGGGTATTGGATTCCCCGGGAATTACGGACAGTTGTTAGCCATCATGTGTGGTTGCTGGGAATCAAACCTGGATCCACTGCAAGAGCAGTCAGTGCTCTTAACTGCTGAGCCATCTCTCCAGCCATTGTATTAAAAACTAATAAAATGAATGTATATTAAGGAGACTTAATGAATTGGCTTACACGATGTAGCCTAGGTAGTCTAATAGTGGCTGACTCACACTGGAGAATCCAAGAACCCAGTGGTCAAAGTTAGGTGCCTCAGTAGTCCTAATCTGGTCCTGAAGGCCTGGAGGATTCCTGTAGAGCTGGTGATATTCAGTCTACATTGGAAGCTTGAAGAAGCTGGGTTCTGTTACCAGCAAAGGAATGCAGCAGCAACAAAATAGATGAACTTGCAGCCACAGTGAAGGCAAGCCTGCAGAAAAGCAAAGCACGCTTCTCCTTTTATCTGGGATGCCACTGAAAGGTGCCACCCACATTTAGAGTAGGTCTTAAAACTTCAAATAATTTTAGCAGGTCAGGTTATAGTGGCATACCTCCCTTAATCCCAGCACTAAGACAGCAGAAGCAGGTCTGTCTCTGAATTTGAGGCCAGCCTGATCTACACAGTAAATTCCAAGCTAACTTGAGCTTCACAATGAGACCATCGCAAAAAAAAAAAAAAAATTTTTTTTTTTTTTTGGTTCAAGAAAGTCCCTCAGAAGAATGCCCAACAGCTTACCTTTTAGTTAATTCCAGATCTAGTCAAGTTGATGACCAAGATTTATCATCACAACCATTACTTTTTAAAGACAGGGTCTCCCCGTAGCCCCAGATGGCCTAGAACTCACTATGTGGCCTAGGCTGGCCTCCATCTCATAGAGATCTGTCTACCTCTGCTACCCCAGCACTGGGATCAAAGGCATGCACCACCAAGCATGGTGCTCACCATAACCATCTTTTTTTTAAAAAAAAAAAATTTATATATTACTTTTATGTGTATGAGTGTAGTACCTGCATGTAGGTAAGTGCACCTGTGTTGTGCAGTGCCCACAGAGGACAGAATAGGCTGTCAGATCCTCTGGAACTGGAGTTATGGACAGTTGTTAGCTGCCATGTGGGTGCTGGGATTCAAACCTGGGTCTTTTGCCAAGAACAACCAGTGTTCTTAACTGCTGAGCCATTTCCCCAGCCCTGTCTTTTTAAACTTTTTAAAATTTATGTGTATGAGTGTTTTGCCTGCCTTTAAGTGCACTGATGTCATGCAATACTTGCACAGACCAGAAGAAGGTGTCAGATTCCCTGAAATTGGAGTTAGGGTGGTTATTAGCTGTCATGTGGATGTTGGGAACAGAACGTGGCTCTTAACTACTGAGCCATCTCTTTAGCCACAAACCTTTATATTTTTAAACAGGGTCACACTACCTTGTTCAGGCTAGCTTCAAGTTTATGATCCTCTTGATTTAGCCTTTTGATTAGCTAGGGTTATAGGCTGTACCACCAGTTTGGCTTGTTATTAAAAGTACTTTTTTTTGAGGATGAATCAAATCTAGGACCTTGTGCATGCTAGACAAATGCTTAATGACTGAGCTACACTTCCAGCACAGAATTAGTGAATTTTAAGCCAGGTGTGGTGGTGCACGCCTGTAGTCCTAGCATTTGGGAAGCAGAGGCAGGTGCATCTCTGTCAGTTCAAGAGTTCAAGGCCAGCCAGGGACTACAGGGAGACCCTATTTCAAAAAGATAAAAAAAAAAGTGATATTTTTGGTTATATTTTATTTTACATGTATGAGTGCTTTGCTTGTATGAATGTAAGTGTGCCATGTGTGTACAGTGCTTGTGGAGGTCAGAAGAGGGCATTGAATCTCCTGGAACTGGAGTTAGTGACAGTTGTTAGCTACCTGGTGGGTGTTGGGAACTGAACCCAGGCTCTCTGCAAGAGCACAGTGCTTTTAACCACTGAGCCATCTCTCCAGTCCTTTTTGTTGAGATAAGGTCTTGGTATGATGCCTTTTCTGCTCTCAAACTTTCAGGACCAAGTAGTCCTCCTGCCTCAGCCCCATCCATATACCTGAGATTTCAGGTGTGCACCACCATGCTGGCCTTTTTATTATTTTTTTTTCGGTCTCTTTGAGACAGGGTCTCCCTGTAGCCCCAGCTGTCCTGGAGCTCACTATGTAGACCAGGCTGGCCTTGAACTCCCAGAGATCTGCCTGCCTCTGCCTCCCGATTGCTGGGATTAAAGGGGTGCACCACCACGCCCTGCTATGCTGGCCTTTTTATAATTTTTTTTTAAATGTATTATTTTTATGTGTAGGAGTCTATTGCCTGAATTTGTGTATAAGTGCACCCATGTCATGCAATGCCTGTGGTCAGAAGATGGTGTCAAATCCCATGGAACTGGAGTTACAGTTGATAGCTGCCATGTGGGTACTGGGAACTGAACCCTGGTCCTCTCCAAGAGCAGCCAGTGCTCTTAACTGCTGAGCCATCGCTCCAGCCCCCTTTTTATACTTTTTGATGCTCTTTAACATTAATTGTTTTCTTAGTTTCCTTTTTGAACTATTCATTGTTAGTGTACGAAATATAACTGGGTTTGGGGCTGGAGATGTGCCCTAGGCTGTTGGGTGCCTGACAGGATCTCAAATCCAGAGGTGACATTGAGTGACCTCTTAGCAGGAGTTTGTTTAGTGACATGCCTGACCCCTAGAAAGAACCCTATCATTTTCTGTTATATCTGTCTCCTGATTTGGGTGCTCAGCAGAAGGGACTGAAGCTTTGGTTCTAAAAACCCATCAGGTGATAACAAGTGAACCCTATGCTACCATGCTGTGTTTTGCTTTCTAGGCTGCATGCCCTCACAAGGTAGCTGCTTCAGGCCTCTCTCACCCCAGTGTTGTACTGATTTTTAGTAACTAAGGATAGAACTGAGGCTCTAGTTTGCATAGAAGCAGCTCAGTTATGGAAGCTTGAAAACTGAAGCAGGAAGAGACAAGAATTATTTGCAGATTAAAACCATCACTAGATTTTTTCTCTCTTTAGGGTCTCTGGTAAGAAGGGTGAAAGCAAAGAAGCCAAAAAGGCTGAAGAGCCAAAAGTCAGAAAGAAACCTGGGCCCAAGCCTGGATGGAAGAAAAAGCTCCGCTGTGAGAGGTAAGGGGGCATCAGTGTGGGGCATCTGCCTGTTGGGTCAGCACCTCCACATGTGCTTTGCCTTACAGGGAGGAGCTGCCCACCATCTATAAGTGTCCTTACCAGGGCTGCACAGCTGTGTACCGTGGGGCTGATGGCATGAAGGTGAGGAGCAGGTGCCACCTTCAGCTAGGGATGCTTTCAGGTCTGGGTGTACCTGTGTTGTGGTGAGTGTCAGCATGAGCTAACTGGAAGTACCAGGTATTTCTGTAGACCAATGTGCAGACTGTTCAAGGCATCATATGATCCTAGGCCAGTGGAGACTTCAGTTATCACCAACATGATCCTAGTGGAGGATATGGAGCCAGCCCTTTGCTTTAGAAACACTCTGTAAGCCCAGAAGTTTCAAAGTGAGGCTTAAAGAAGCCAGTGGTAGAATACAAAGTGGTTGGGTCTGTCCTTCCAGGACAGCCAGTCATCAACTGCTGAGGACACTGCACAGGAGCCCTTGGTTAGTAGGATGTGTCCAGATGAAATTAGAATCTCTTATCTGTTGCTCCTGCAGAAGCACATTAAGGAGCACCACGAGGAGGTCCGGGAGCGGCCCTGTCCACATCCTGGCTGCAACAAGGTATTCATGATCGACCGATACCTGCAGCGCCACGTGAAGCTCATTCATACAGGTAACTCCTCAGGCTGTGCCTTCTGAGCCTAGGTTTGACTGGCAGTGCATCCCAGACAGAGGATCACACTCCACCCAGAAGGCAATGCCCAAGTGACTCACAGGGCTTGCTATCAGATACTCTCAGGTGCTCATAGGTCACATGTAAGGTATAAGTCCACATATAGATATGAGCCCTGCATGCTGAATTCCTGATGGAAGCTTTTTAAAATTTTTACCCCCTGCAGGGTCTGGGAAAGTTGTCAAAATTAATAACAGAATCCATGGTACTCTTTTGTGAGTTCACTCCCTTTAAAAAAATATTAACACTAGGCCGGGTGTGGTGTCGTATGCCCAGTACCTGGGAGGCAGAGGCAGGTGGCGAGTTCAAGGCCAGACTGGTCTAAATAGTAAGTTTTAGGCCAGCTGGGGCTACAGGGAAACACTGCCTCAAAAAGACAAAAATTAACACCAGAGTTGGCAAGATGGCTCAGTGGGTAAAGGTGACTGCAATCAAGACTGAGTTTAATTCCTTGGGACCTACATGGTAGGAGAGAACTGACTCCATCAAGCTGACCTCCCTGTCTCCACATACACACTGGCATGTGCATACTCCCTCAAATTAAAAATGTAAAAAAAAAAAATAATAAATAAATAAAAAAAATGCTCTTCAAACAAACGGCATATATTCAAAAAGAAATCAGGGAAACAATCCCATTCACAATAGCCACAAAGGTAAAAAAAAAAATAATAAATAAATAAATAAAAAAAATGCTCTTTTCAGACTAAAAATTTCATGCCTTATAGAAATTGTGACAAACTACCTCCCACTGACCACCCTGAGGGCTTATTCTGTTTTCTCTGGAGACATGTTCTCATATGACACCTGTACTATTCATTCAGGTAGACTGTTTTTATCAGTCCCTGAACAATATAGTTTCTGAGCTTTGTACAAATGACTACAGAAAATTTTTTCTCATTAGTATTTGCATATTTTATCGCTGGATCATTTACTTGGGTTCCATAATGAAATCCAACTATATGACAATTTCCTAATCTCTACTCCATGCTAAGCATTTTGGCATGTGTCTCCTGAGGGAACAACTTTGTTAGGTCTACATCTTCAAACTTTCTATCTGGCCAGTTACTAGTGGTCATAGCAGTAGCTTAAGAGATGAAACATTATAGAAAGTTAAGTAGTTCAGCTTGGAAGTCACAGGCATTTTATAGGTGTATAGATAGCATGGGGTGTGGTCAATTGTTTTTAATGTTTTAAGTGTGTATGCATATATGTGCCGTGGCACACGTGTGGAAGTCAAAGGACAACTTGCGGGAGTCACTTCTCTCCTTCCACTATGTGGGATCCAGGATTGAACTCGGGCTAATCAGGCTTTGTGGCAAGCCTTTATCTGTTGGGCTTTCTCACTTGTTTTTTGATACGGTTTTATGTAGCTCAGGCTGGCTTCAAACTTGATATATAGCAGACGATGACCTTGAACTCCTCAGCCTCCTACCTTCCTGAGTGCTGAGATTACAGGTATGCACCACCATGGTTGTAGTTGATTGTCAAAATGTATTGAACCATTATACTCCATCAGTGGTCCTGCCCCCAGTTTGGGCCCTTAACTGGAATGACATCTAGAGAGTAGTAGTGCTGAACACTGATCTAGGTTTCTCTAGGGATTTATGATGAATAAAGGCCATCTGTTTTGTCTTGAAAAGGAAGTTTCAGGCCAGGCATGGTGGCTTATGCTTGTAACCTGGCACTTGGGAGGTTCAGCCAGGAAGATTGTCATGGGTTCAAGGGCCAGAGTGAGTGATGTAATAGGTTTCAGGACAATCTAATCCAGAGACCATTAAAAAAAAAAGCTTCTTTTCAATGGGGAAGATTTTACAGTTTAGTATCAGTTTTACAGTTTTGTATCAGAATTGTCTTTCATCTGTAAATAATGTTGGGTTCCCAGAGGCCCTTGCTTGAGCATGTCTTTGTGTTGAGTAATAACTGTCACCTCTCATGGGATAGATTTAGGTATCTGGGGCTGTTGCTCATACTCCCTCTGGTCTTCTTTTCTTGCAGAGGTGCGCAATTACATCTGTGACGAGTGTGGGCAGACCTTCAAGCAGCGAAAGCACCTTCTTGTCCATCAGATGCGCCACTCAGGAGCCAAGCCACTGCAGTAAGTGTGGGCTGGGTACCTCCTATGGCTGGGACAAGACACAGCTTACCTCACCTTCCTCTGCCCCCCAGGTGTGAGGTCTGTGGGTTCCAGTGCAGGCAACGAGCATCCCTCAAGTACCACATGACCAAACACAAGGCAGAGACTGAGCTGGACTTCGCCTGTGACCAGTGCGGCCGGAGGTTTGAAAAGGCCCACAACCTCAATGTGCATATGTCCATGGTACATCCTCTGACCCAGACCCAGGACAAGGCCCTGCCTTTGGAAGCAGAGCCCCCACCTGGGCCACTGAGCCGCTCTGGGACTATGGAGGGCCAGACTGTGAAGCCAGAGCCTACCTGAGGACTGCAGGTGGGACACCGGGCATGTCGAGCAGCTTGAACTCAACAGGTGTGTTGTAAGGTTTAAGGACATTTTAATGTTCCTCACTTCCCCACTGGCACAGCTCTGCTTGCTCTTTGGGGCCCATGCTGCACTCCACCCACATATCTAGCAGCCATGTGTTGAAGGGCATTTCTCTCTCAGGCCGAGGGAGGTGGGCTTGGTGTGTACTTCACGTAGCCTTTGTTGCCTGTGGTGGGACCAGCAGTTTATTTTCCTATGAACACAGAGCAATTTGGGGCCAGACACAGATTATGAATAATTGATTGTTTTTCCCAGTTAGAGCAATCAAGGAGATTTGTAACCCACTTTTGAGTGTAACAAGAGCTCCATGTTATGCTTGCAATAAATTATTTTCAAAGGAGCCAGCTGGTGCACTGAGATGGTTGCAGTCAGAAGAGATTGGGTTCCTGGTAGAGATCGAGGTCAGGGTCAGTCTGCTGCCTGCACAGGAGGGCGGTGCTCACCTCTGGGTCGTAGTCTCCACGACCAGCCAGTAGCTATGAGAAAATACATTGCTCAGCCTGAGTGTACTGTCTGCAGACTGAGGGCACAGGGAATGGCTAGAAGATACTTTGGAGTTGTGCTGTCAGCCAGATGGGTCTGTGTTGTACAGCTACAATCTTAAGTGTCATCTCATTTTACCTAAGGTGTGAGATCAGCCCAAGGATTTCTCTGATTTGTTACCTTTGTCACGTTTGAGAAGCACTGTTTTGGGCATCGAGGTATTAGCTGCAGCAGAAAAATACGTGCCTTTGTTACCAGTTGTACAGGACTGCCCTAGAAAGAAGACAGGCAATCATAGTTCAGGGCACACTGAATCAGCACTAGTGTGTTCTGCCTGCTGTTCCTAGGGAGCAGTTGCCTCATGGGCTGGAGGGAGCTTACCTGGAGCCAGGACTGGCCTTGGAGTGGCAAGCTCCTGCTGACCTGAAGTGACATAGCCTTAGTTTCCCCATCCACAAAGAGCTGGATCAGCTTGAGGTACATGTCAGTGGCAACATACAAGAAAGCCTCTTCCCTGATGACAGCATCTTCACTGATGTAGGGAAGAAGGCTGCAAGTAAAGACAAAGTCACAAAGGACTTGAAGATGGCAGAGAGGTAAGTAGCAGCACAGAGACTGCCCACTCATCTGTGGAACAAAAGGACGGCAACTTTTCCTGCCTTGTGGGAAAGCCTGAGGAAACTGCTTTTTTCTCTGACAGTATCAGGCACCAAGAGTTGGGCTTACTCACCACTGACCAGGAGGTAGTTACCTGTAGAAGGCAAATGGTAGCAGCCTAATGTACTGATCTGGGGCCAAGTGAAGGAGGTGCCCCAGCCCGGCATCTGCAAAACCAAGGAGCTCAGTCAGCTCTGTGGACTCTCATCCAGTGTCAGTGCTGAAGATGACTCTGAGATGTCATGTGTGTTGGGAAGTCTCTGTCTAGCTGTGGTGACTGTGGAGCCTGTGACCTGTACTGAGGACACCTGTCAGAAGCTGCTGGGAAAGAGGGGTCACTTCTCCTTCAGTCTGGGAAAATGGTGGTGATGTGCTGACACAGAATAGAGACTGTGGGTTGGGCAAGTTCTCCCTACCTTTCCCTGTGGAGGCACCACTCCAGACCAGCAGCCTCCTGGACCTTTGAGTGCCCCCATGGATTCTTCTGTTGCTTTAAATGAGTGTCCTGAATTAGTGCCCCAATTGAAATGGAGTTTATAAATTCACAAAAATTGAGCCCCTCCATTTGGTACGGTGGTACACATCTATAATCTCAGCACTTAAGAAGCAGAGGCAGGTGGATGTCTGGGAGTTATAGCCTGGACTACATAGTGAGACAGGCTCAAACAAAACAAAATTGAGCCCCCAGGCATGGTGTTCATAACTCTTTGAAAGCTGCTTCTGAAGAGAGTAATGGTCAGCATGGTATCTGCTCAACTGATGTCAGGCAGAGCCAGCCTTCTATCCTATTCCAGAGCCTCACATGGCTTCTCACCTGTCTCTGTCAACTGAAAGAGCACCAGCCAGGACACTTTCCTTCTTTCTAAGCACCCAAGGACCTCGGCACAGATGTCCACAGCTTTCAGATACTCAGCAGTGTCCTGTCATCCACAGAAGAACCATCAGAAAGCTGGGCATGGTGGCGCACACCTTTAACCCAGCACTCGTGAGGCAGAGGCAGGTGGATCTCTGTGAGTTCAAGGCCTGCCTGGTCTACATAGTGAGTTCTAGGCCAGCTAGGGCTACAGGGAGACCCTGTCTCAAAAAGACATAAATAAATAAAAAAAGAACCATCAGAAGAGCTGAGCAGGTAGGAAGTTATAACCTTTTGTGCTGGGTGAACAGAGGGGTCCTAAGAGCTGCTGTGTTCATATGGATTCAAGAGTTCAACCCTGTTAATAGAGGGGGTGGTTCTTTTTCATTCCCCAAAGTCTAAAACTGGTGATAAACTAAAGGTCTTCCGGGTGGAAAAACACCAAGGCCCCTGAGGTACCCATACCCCAGGTGACTGCACCAAGCTCTGGAGCAAGACCTCAAAAAGGACACAGCCAACAGCCTGAAATTCCAGGAGACCTGAATTGAGGTCTGAGTGGACCTGGGATTCACTACCTGGTATCCCTGTAGAGGTAGAAGGAAAGGCTATCTCAGCTGAAAGTTCTGACTTACCTGTGGGGTCAGAGAGGACGAGAGTAGGCCCATCAAGGAGAAGAAAAGCAGGGAGATGAGAAGCTGTAAGGGAAACCACACCAAAGTCACACACTGACACTCTAGGCTGAATGAGACCATGGCTAGGGCCTAAGGCCTTTAAGTGGATCTCAGCAGGAAAAAACATTAATCACTAACTTTAGAGTCTTACTATGTAGCCCAAGCTGGCCTCAGATTCATCCCAGCAATCCTATCTCAGCTTTCCAAGTGCTAGGATTACCAGTTTGAAACCAACATGCCAGGTTTTTTCATCACTTAAAGAGCTTATGAGGGCTGGAAAGAAGGCTCAGTGGTTAAAGCACTAGCTGCTCTTGCAGAGGACCCAGGTTTGATTCTCAGTACCCATACAGTGGCTAACAACTATTCATAACTCCAGTTCCAGGGAATCCCACACCCTCTTCTGACCTATGTGGGCACTGTACAACATGGGTGGGTGTACTTATATACATGCAGGCAGTATACTCATAAAATATAAACAAGAATTTAAAAAGAGAGCTTCTTAGAGAATGAATTGTGGCCAATAGAATCATAAAATTGTTTTTCTTATATTTTGTGTATACACATGTATGTACTATGAGGAGGTCAGAGGACAACTTGTGGCAGTCATTTCTCTTCTACCATATGTGTTCTAGGGATTGAACTCAGGTTGTCAGGCTTGGCAGCAAGTGCCTTTTATAAAAATATTTTTTATTATTTTTATTTTATGTGTATGTGTGTAGGTAAGTGCACCTGTGTCCTGCAATGCCCATGGAGGACAGAAGAGGCTGTTGGATCCCCTGGAACTGGAGTTACAGACAGTTGTTAGCTGCCATGTGGGTGCTGGGATTCAAACCCGGGTCTTCTGCAAGAACCACCAGTGTTCTTAACCACTAAGTCATCTTTCCAGCCCTGGCAGCAAGTGCCTTTAAATAGCGTCACTTTCTGTGAGCTTTTAACTGCAGTTACTAAAGGTGAGTGCTCCAAGCAGCCTCAGCTCAGCCTAGTTCCCCTACAGGTCTTGCTGCTAGAGGATATGTAAAAATCCTAGAAAAGCCACCTAGAGACTGGCTCTGAGCCATTAACATCACTTCTAATACAAATTCAAAACAATGGAAAAATAAACTTGATGAATCCTTGAAGGTTTTTATATTTCAGTGGCCAAAACATTTGGATCTAGTTTTCAGGTTGGTATTTAATTGTGACCTGTGTTTAGGAGTGGGGGGAGGTTGCAGCATGGCTCTCCCAGCCCCCTTCTCAGACACTGGTTCCTACTTCTTCTGTTTCCCCAGTAAGTCTTAGCTTTCTACACATTGCCCAGAGTGTCTGTCCTTAGAGGTCATGTGGGTGCTGCTTAGAGGGGCAATGCATAGCTAGGAGCTCTCAAGGGCCCAGCAACCAAGAAGGCCCAGAGCCCAAAGCCTGACTGTCCTCCATGTAAAAGTTGGAGCAGTCCCTTCTTGTGCCTCTGCAGATAAACAAAGCTACAGCTTAGTCCTACCTTTTTGCCTCTGAGTTGTCTAAGTATTTGCTTAGCTGGAAGCACCCATCCACACAAGTCACAGCTATGATAACATGAATATGGCTGGAGGCTTTTTATACTGTGTTGTGGGTGAAAGTTAAAACAAGCCCAATAAAAACACTGCCAAAAAGAACTGTAAGATACTTTTACCTTTAAACTTGAGACCTACTAAGCTGGACATGGTGGTACGTGCCTTTAATCCCAGTACTTGAGAGGCAGAAGCAGGCAAATCTCTGTGAGATCAAGACCAGCTTGGTCTATATAGCAAATTCCAGGCCAGCTGGGGCTACAGGGAGACCCTATCTCAAAAACAAACACAAACCATACACACAAAAAAAACCTTAAAACCTGCTATAAATATAAACATAGTTAACAGTTTTATTTTCAAATAGAGTAACAAGAACTCCAAATATCATGTTTATCTTTGGAAAAGGAAAGTCAATAGGCACACCCTGAGAAATACCTCACTTAAAAAACACTGGTTTATAAACACGTTTACTAGAAAAAGGCATTGAAAAATTCTATGTCTTACCTCCTCTCTTTCACAGTCTAGACTCTTCAGTTTCTTGACATTTTCCTTCCTAACTTTTCTAAATGCAAAGTGCAGTGCTGCAGCTGAGACCCAGGCCAGGTTAGGTGCAGCTGAGACCCAGGCCAGGTTAGGTGCTGGGGAAGCTGATTCAGAGGACAGGAAACTGATACAAGGAAACATATTACAGAGATTTAATTTTTGAAATTTATTTTGTGTGTATGAGTGTTTTACCTGCCAGTGCCTACAAAGGCCAGAAAAGGGCGTTGGGTCCCCTGGAACTGGAGTTTCAGATGGTTGTTAGCCACCACGTGGGTGCTGGGAACGGAACCCAGGTCCTCTCCAGCCCCCAGGATTTGCCTTTTAAGTAGAATGCAGGAGGCCCCAGAGTCATGAGAAATGAAATTTGTGTCAAAGCATTCTGAAGTGGAGAATCAGCTATGCCCTGTTCACCTCACCTTGGGTTGTTGGGGCCTGAGCACTCTGAAGGAAGAGGCTATAGTACCATTGAGGTCTCTGTATTCTTGGTTGTCCATGTGGCCCTGGAATTGGGCCAGCCTATTGGAGTCCAGCTTTAATGCCAGTGTGGTATCGCAGTATCAGCAGGATAAAAAAGTTTGGCAGAAAACTAATGACATACAGTATAAGAGTTTAAGGAATAATCTGATCTATCTTTGTAGAATTAGGGTTGGTAGGCAAGGCCTGCTTTCCTTGTTTGCTGAGCAGGTTTTAGAGTACTTTGACCAGGAGAGGACACAGGTATCTGGGATTCAAAACTAGCCACCAGGAAGAAGTCCTAAATGGAATGAGTGGGATCAACATGTCTTGCTGAGGCCCTCAAGGAATTCCCTAGATGCTACAGGACCTTAGTGGTCCTCATGAGGGCAGGCTAGCCAGGACTGCCAGAAATCTGTTTTCAGGTCAAGGAAAAACTGAGAATCTGTTTCTTGCCCTATCCCCCTGATACTGCCAGTCTTGGGCCTCTGACCCTGTGTTGAATAAACCTAAGAACAGAACCCAGCATCAGGATGTAGGAAAAGCTGAGCTGGAATGAGACTTGCTGTAATCAGTCTTCAGGAACACTTGAGCTGCTTCCTTAGGTATGCTAGTCAGCTCAGTCCTCTGCTACCCTTTCACTTTCAGAGGCTGTACCCCAGAATGTTCATGAAAACAGCTTAGCCTAAGGAGCATCTGGGCTCCCCCTGGGCACGCTGCTGTGGCTTACTTGCTAGCAAACTGTTGGGCTTCCTGCAGCCTCAGCAGCTCTTGAGGCAGCGTGCTTTGGCAGCATTTCTTCCACCGACTACATAGCACTGGCTCCAGGCTTGACCACCATGACTGTGGGAAGAGAATCACCAAGAAACTGATTAAGGCAGTTGTCTTTGGATTCATCTCAAGTTGCTAGAAGAGAGATGCTGTCTTTGGGCCAATACCTCAGACCCCTCACTGCCAATGAGCTAGGGAACTCCTGAGAGCTTGACAAGGCTCACATTAAACTGCTTTGCAACTTCAGTGTCTTTCTCATCTGAGGTGCAAAACAATTGCATGAAGCTTTTTTTTTTTAAAGACAGTCTCACTATACAGCTCTGGTTGACCTGGAACTTGCTATGCAGACCAGATTAGCCTGAAACTAACAGAGATCTGCCTGCCTCTGCCTCCTGAGTGCTGGGAATAAAGGCATGAGTTACCACACCCCACTCATGACAGGATAAGGCTTAAAGGAGGGCTCAGTATGAGGAAATACCTCATAATGTTGGCCACTACACTGAGCTAGCTACCCTGCTTCTCGGATATGCCCTGCTGAAAGCTGTTGTCTAATACAGAATAGTTCATCTATAGTAAATAAGACACAAAGAGCTCCAAACTAGATGGCTAGCACTGTCAAACTCCCCTCGTTAGAATGATGAACCAGATGGAGGTACTAGGGGACCTGGGAAGCCCCAACAGCCTCTTCTAGGAGTAATCATAGTACCTACAAACATCAGTTGTGCTTTGGGGAGCATTGTACTCCTTATGGAGCCTCTAGTGAGCATATGGGACTACATGAGAGGGCGTGCAGACGGGAGTGGTGACAGCTCTGAAGAACTGAAAATATGGCCTTTGCTGCAGGGCAGTGTGCTCTAGCTACCCTACTCTCACATTTCTCCTGAATCCTAACAATTGAACCCTTTGTAAAATGGAGCCCCCATAGTCTTTGCAAAAATATCAAGATGGAGGCCCTTGAGATGGCTCAGCAAGTAAACGCACATGCCAACAAGCCTGATAACCTGAATAAGTTCAAACCCTGCAGGTTATCTTTTGATCTGTGTGTATGTGCATGCAAACACACAGTGAATAAATAAACATACTTTAAAAAGATGGCCAGACCTACCAGTGCAGAAGTCAGAAGCATGGGGCACTTGGTCTGGCACTCTGTCAGGGTCAGGTTGGCCATCAGTGATGGGTCTTTGCTGCGAAAACAGGCATTAAGGAGGCCCTGCAACAAGAATACACTGAAGCTCAGCAATGTGCCGTAACTCAGGCACCCATGGGAACCCTGGCCCTGAAAGACAGGACCTAACATCAAGATCCACCCCAAGGCATCTTGGGGTTACATAGGAGGTGCTGGATTACCCTGAAGAAGTGGACGGTAATGTTGTGGGTCAGGACATAGCCATGGCAACAGAAGTTTCTCTGTAAAACAATTCAAAAATCAGAACAAGACCAACAGAGGTAGAGAGGCCAGTCCAGAGCATTTCTACATACCAACTCAGAGTTGACCAGGTGAAAGAACTCCTCACAGTTGGGGGTGGCAGGCTGTCCAGCCTGGGGGCTGCTGACAAGAATAGATGGAGATAGACGGAGAAGAAGCCTTGGAAGGAAGGAAGGGGCTGTGTTATGGTGAAGACAGACCAAGGACACAGACACAGGATGCACTATCCCTGGTTCAAACTTTGCACAACACCATTCCTTAAATCCTGGCTCAAGCTACATCACACTTTTCAGATTGAGTGATGCTGTTGGAACCATAGCCCCAGCCCCCCGGCCCATTGTCCTTGCCTTAGGCCTGTGTTCTACATAGAAACATGTCTTTGTCTCCAGCTCCTAAGCCCTGCTGAGGTGCTAAAGATACCCCAATGTGTTACAAAAAATATATAAATAACATATATAAATAAATAACAAAGCCGGGTGTGGTAGTGAATGCCTTTACAGCATTTGGGAGGCAGATTCAGGTGGATCTCTGTGAGTTCTAGGCCAGCTGGGGCTACAGGGAGACCCTGTCTCAAAAAGACAAAAAAAAAAAAAAAAAAAACAAAAAAAAAAAAAAAAAGACAATAACAAAAAAATAACAAAGTAGAAGGATGTACCACTGTCTAAGAAGGCAACCCTTTAACTAGACTGAATTATGAAAATGGTTGCAATGCACATTGTTGAACATGTGGTTTTCCTTATTTTGACGTATTCCTTCTTTACAGTACACATCCTTCTGTGGAAGGATTCTTGAGTCCGAGTGGGAAGACTTGATCCAAAGCACCTTTTACACTGTTACACTTGCTCCCATGGGAGCCACTAAGATGATGAAATCATCCCAAGCTTGGGGTAGACAGAATGGAGCAACTAAGAGTGAAGACATTAAAGATAAACTGTCACTGAGTCACTGTGGTATCTGTTACCGTTTGCACAGGAGCAGCTCTTGCTGTCTCTTAAGGCTAGTAGCCATGCTGCCCCCACCGGCCAGAGCCTGGAGCCGACTTTGGAACACCCGGAAGAGAAAGTGAGAAGTAAAGCAGCCAGAGGGCGTGGCAGGGCCTTGCTCTAGCTCCAGGTCCACAGCCATCTCCTGGAAAAGAATAGGACCAGACACTCATCTTCTGTCTCTGATTTGTCCCCAAGTGTGAATCAAGGCATTTAAAGTCCTCAAGGCTCACCATGGACCTTAATTGTGAACACCTGGAGATGAGTTTGAGAGGGTTGTCTCCACAAGGATGGGAGTGAGAAGGGGCAAGAGCACAAGCTTTTCTCTAACTGAAAACAATTTCAGCCAGATCTGGTAGCACAGGCCTGTAATCTCAGCTACTTGGGCATTAAGCCAGAACTGCAGATTTAGGGTCTACCTGAGCTACAGCACTTGCCTAGAATGAATGAAGCCCTATATTCAACGCCCCAGTATCACAAAAATAAACCATAAGTCTATTTTTAAATCACAAATAAAAGTGCAAGGAATACCCATCACTCCTCATTCAGATTCACTTGTAGCTGGCACTCTGCCCTTTTGTTACTTTTTGCTACCCTGTGTATACAGGTATGCACACCTGTAGGGACGCACTGAAGACTAATTCTGTGCTCAAGGCTCTCAACCCCAGTCCTCCCAAGCCTGTGTGTGCATGCTCTCAGGCTGGCGTCACGCTCCTGTGGCCCATTCCCATTCCATAGCAGAGCTACATTTCTGTCTGCCCCCATTACAGGGTATATGCCAGGGTCACACCAGCACTTCACTGTTACAGCTCCTGAGCCCCATTATTCAGGAACATTTCCTAAAACTTCTCTTTAATTATACTAAGAATTTTCCTTTTTTTAAAATACAAAGACCTAATGTTTAGACTTTTTAAAAATAATATTTTATTTATTTATTTAGGTCTTTTTGAGACAGGGTCTTCCTGTAGCCCCAGCTGTCCTGGAACTCACTATGTAGACCAGGCTGGCCTTAAACTCACAGAGATCCTCCTGCCTCTGCCTCCTGAGTGCTGGGATTAAAGGCATGAGCCCCCACGCCCAGCCCTTATTATTTTTATTTTATGTGTATGAGTGTATTGTCTGCATGTACGTGAGTGCACCCGTGTCGTGCAATGCCGCGAAGGTCAGAAGAGAGCTTCAGATTCCCCTTAACTGGAGTTAAGGGTGGTTCATAGCCACCATGTGGGTGCTGGGAATTGAACCCAGGTCCTCTGCAAGAGCAGTCAGTGCTCTTAACCGCTGAGCCATCTCTCCAGCCCCCTATACTAAGAATTTTCAAGAGAGTACACATGACTTTTTAAACGCCAAAGGATGCTCCATGTGCTCAAAATAATCATGAATTCCACTTTGAATCTACATAATGTCCTCGACCAACAACATGAAGCCTAAGCCATAGAGCTGGCTTCACTGTGTCTGTCATTCATCTTGGTCTCAGGACCCAGCCCACAGAGGGGCCATAGGGGACAGGCTTTGAGCACTCTGAGCACATTCATTAGCAAATATGTCTGCCTCACTGATTATCATTACTTCTGGATGCTTTCACAGAGCTCCATCAAGGCTGAATTTTGTCAGTCTCCCAACAGGGCAAGGTGGCAGAGGAAGCAGCTACTGTATTTTCAGGAGGAATAAAGCAGCCAGCTTATATGATGTGAAGGTGGGCCTGTGGAATGAAGAGGTCCCACTGCTGGGGAGGAATGGGAAGGAACCTAATGTAGCATGATAGGTGTAGTCTGATGACTGAACGTATATGTATGAAATGGACATATATCCTGTCTACTTACCAGAAATAACATGCTTGGTACCCATATGTAGCTATAGCCTGTTGTGTACTTACCATCCAGTTTTCTTTCGTCCTCCACATTTCTAAATTCACCCTTGAAGAATGGCATCATGGAACCCACACATATGATTGTGTTCAGTAAAACCACACATACTTTTATGGTTTGGATCTGAAATGTCCCTTAAAAGACAGATGCTGAAAGCTTGCTCCTCAAAGCACTGGTGTTCAGAAGTGAGTGGCTCACAAGGGCTCTGACCCCATCTATTGATAGATTCATAGCTGAATGGACTATTTGGAGGTGGCAGAAAGTAAATTCAGAGCACACTGTCACTCTGGGTCTTAGCTATGGTATGGATAATGTAAGTTTCTACTCTGCTATGTTGAGTTAGTCACCATTAGATAAAGTGGTCATAAATACCTTAGCAGAGGAATAGGCTTGCTGAAGTGAATACACTGAACTCTGGTGTCCTCTAACTCACCTGCAGCCTAGAAAGAATATCTTCATTTCCTTTGTGTCCACCAAGGACCAGATCTGAGTTCTCTGAGTGGTTATAACTCCTCGAACTGAAATTAAAAAACAAAAGCCTGCTCAGTACTTAGAGTACTGCAGTGCCTATTCCTACTATATCCATAGTGGGGCAGCTGCACCTTACTGATAGCATAACATAACAGTCAATGAAAAATGACATAACCCAACAATGTACTAGCAGTCCCAAAACAGCAAGTATAAAAGAACTGTCAGACATGTTCCTGTAATTCCAGTACTCAAGCAGCAAAGGCAGGAGGATCACTGCAAGTTTGAGGCCAACTTGGTATGCACAGGAAGTTCTAAGCCAGCCAGGGCTACCTAGCATAACCAAGTGTAATTTATCCCAAGAATGCAAGGTTGGTTTGACACACAAAAATGAATACATATGCTTATAAATAACATAAAATCAAAAAATACATGATCGCATCAATAGATGCAAAAAAGATCAGGAATAATGGGTCAGACGTGGTGGCGCATGCCTTTAGTCCCAGCACTTGGTAGGCAGAGGTAGTGGATCTCTGTGAGCTCAAGTCCAGCCTGGTCTACATAGTGAGTTCCAGGCCAGCAGGGGATATAGGGATATAGGGAAACCCTGTCTCAAAAAGACCAAAAAAAAAAAAAAAAAAAAAAAAAAGTCAGGAATCATGTCCTTTCTCCCATCTCTCTTCAATACTCCATTCTACAGTCTACATTCTAGCTAGGGAAATTCAGTAAGAAAAAGAAACAAAAGGCATCCATACTAGAAAAAGCTGAACAATCTTCATTCACAAAAGACCTGACCTTATAAATGGCAAATTCTGAATAATTCACTAGAAAAGTACTAGAGCAAATAAATGAGTTTGCTGAATTGATACATGAAAGTCAGCTGTATTTCTATACATTATCCATAAATAATTAAAAAATAAGGCAATTATTCTACTTAACAGTGGCACTGAAAAGAATAAAATACTGAGGCAGGTAGACCTTTGTGAGTTCGAGGCCAGCCTGGTCTGCACAATAAGATCCTATCTCAAAATACAAAACAAAGCCAGGTGTAGTGGCATATCCCAGCACATCCCAACACTCAGGAGGCAGAGGCAGGTGGATCTCTGTGAGTTCCAGGCCAGTTTGGTTTACATAGTGAGCTCCAGGCCAGCTGGGGCTACAGAGAGACCCTATCTCAAAAAGACCAAAAAAATAAATAAATAAATAAATTTAAAAAATAATAAATAAATTTAATCTATAAGATTTGTACTCAGAAAAACCAAAATACTGTTGAAAGAAATTAAAACCTAAATAAATGGAAAGACATCCCATGAACATGCAAGAAAATTTAGGTACTATTAAGATGACATTATTACCCAAAGTGATAAAGAGCTCTAATATAATCCCTGTCAGAATCCCAGATTGTTTTGTAGAAATCAGTAAGTCGATCCTAAAATTCAGATGGAATTGCAAAGGACCCAGAAAAGACAATAAAGTCTTAAAGAACAAAGTTGGAAGACTCACATTTCCAAAATTCAAGACCTACTTCCAAGTTATAGTAATCAAAATAACACACTGAGACAGTAGATAGGCTTGGTAGTCCAGAAATAAACCGTCCTGCAAGTGGCCAACTGATCTATGACAAGGGCACCAAGACTATCCAATGCAGAAGAATAGTCTTTTCAACAAAAACATGCAAAAGAGTAAGTGAGACACATACCTCACGTAAGTCAAAAACTTAAATATAAGAGCTAAAACTAAAATCATGCATCAGACTCCACCAAATTTTTAACTTCTGAGCATCAATGGATACTAGGGAGTGAAAGGACAACACATAGAATGGGAAAAAATATTTGCAAGTCATGTATTTGCTAAGTTTATATCTAGAATATATAAAGAACTCCTACAACTTAATAAGGTAACCCAATTTTAAGGGGGTTGAGGGGGCAGCTCAGTGGTAGAGCACTTTCCTAGCCTGTGCAAAGCTCAGGGTTTGATCCCAAGTAGCACAAAAAAGAACTGGGAGGGGTAGGAAGCAGGCAAAAGATAGAAACAGGTATTTCTCTAAATTGTCCAACATCATTGCTTTCAAGGAAATGCAAATAAAAACCACGATGGGCTGGGCATGGTAGATGGTAGTACAGGCCTTTAATCTTAGCACTCAGGAGGCAGAGGTGAGTTCCAGGCCAGCTGGGGGTACAGAGAGACCCTATGTACAAAGACCCGCTCTTTGTTGTGACAGACAAATCCATAGTGAGAGCCAGGCATGGCACATGTCTCTAATCCCAACACTCTGAAGGCAGAGGCAGGCAGATATCTGTGAGATCAAGGCCACTTTGATCTACATAACGAGTTCCGGGCCAGCTGGGGCTATAGAAGAGACTCTGTCTCTAAAAAACAAAACAAAATACTGCCCCCACCCCCAATCCACAATGAAATAGCACTTCATCCCCCTAAAATGGCCATTATTAAAATCAGAAGATAACAGTTGGTGATGATGTGGAATACTTAGAATTCTCTGTACTAGAGGAAGACTATAAAATTGTATAGCCAGCTTGGGAAAATATTCTGAAAAAATAAAAAGCATAATACCGACCAATTCCATTCCTGTGCATATGCACAAGAAAAAAAAAAAAAAACAACAACAACAACAAAAAACCAAACATAAGTCCCCCACCCCCAAAAAAACCATACAGAGTTCATAGCAACATTATTCACAATAGGCCCAAAGTAGAAACAACTCAAATGTCTGTCAATGGACAACTAGACTAAGATGTTGTGTATCTTTCAATGGCATATTATTCAGCCATAAGAGAATAAAGTACCACTACATAGATGAATCTTGAAAACATTTCCTCAGTGAAGGAAGACCATATATAACTATTTATATGCAATATCCAGAACAAGCAGTTCTACAGGAGGTGGACTGGTGGTTGCCAGAGCCTGGAGAATATGAGCAGCTTGCTCACACATCTATCCATGCCTCTTGAGGTGCTCTCAAGAGCCAAAGGGGAAAAAGAAATTGATCCCAATTTCACTTTGCTGGGGCTACCACAACTATCCACCCAGCCATCAGTGGCTTGAGGAAGGAGGATTGAGTTCTAGGTCTGGCCTACACAGACCCTTTCTCAAAACACAAAACAAAGAACTTCCTACACTACTGGTTGTGCTGACACACAAATATGCAGAAGGTGACACTGTGCACTTATTTGTTGTGCTGACCTGTGCTCTTCAGTAACAATCTACCTTAAGTAGTAGAATCTCACCCCGCCTTCCCCTGTCCCTCTCCCTCTCCCTTCTTTTCCTCTTTCCCTCCCTCCTCCCCACTACCTTGTCCAGGGGCAGGCAAATACAAACTTAGGAAGTAGACTCTTTCACATCTCAGTACTGTGACACAGTCACTGCTAGGATAACAAGACAGAACCTAAGCATCACTAACAGTGATCCTGAAGATGAAGGGTGGTGACAGAGATGCTACCCAAGATTTCTTTCATGGCAGTTTGCATGCAATGTTTGAAGAACTGCTCTTACTTGCTAGGCCATTTGTTCCTTCTTCACATTTGCTGACTCTGAACAGATGCAAAAAGAGTTGCAGAGTGTCTCAGTATGAGCTACACAGAAACAGCTGATTCAGGAAGTTTGCCTTTATTTTAAGGAGACTCAGATGTTTGTAAGATCCACTCAAATGTACTGTATTTTTTTTTTTATATTTTATTTATTTTATGTGCGTGTACTGCCTACATGTAGGTAGGTGCACCCGTGTCGTGCAATGCCCGCAGAGGTCAGAAGAGGCTGTCAGATCCCCTGGGACTGTAATTATGGACATGTTAGCTGCCATGTGGGTGCTGGGATTCGAACCTGGGTCCTCTCCAAGAACAGTCAGTGTTCTTAACCGCTAAGCCATCTCTCCAGCCCCTACTTTGGGTAATTTGTAATGTGACTGGACCAAGAGAAATTGAAATGCATTCTCAGAGCTGTCATTAACAAAAAGTGGGTTTTTAAGCACTGTGTGGCTAACCTTTGGTAGAAGTCCATCAGCTCACTGACAAGGACTGTACAAGCCACTTCCAGATCTCCATCGCAGCCTCCCAAAGCAGACGGCGCCGGGAGGTAGTGTTCATAGATTGCCCATTGGTGGAAGTCCTGTCTGCAACAGTGAACACTGAGGTGAATTCTGAGTAATACTTCATACAGCAGTACATAGTTCCCATGACTGAGCACACTGGTAACTAGCACCAGGAAACTGAGAACTCAGGGTGGGGTGAAGCCTCATTTTCAGCAAGAAAAGCCCACTCTAGGAGTAACTCTGGGACCAAAGCCCAGGAAGGGTCTGTGTATCTGTGAACCCAGTGAATGTAGTAGGCAGCTGTAGCACTACAAGCCAAGTTATCTGACAGTCTGAACCATGCACAACCCAAAAGAGGCATGGCTGACCAGACCGTAAACTACAGGTCAGCTGCCAAAGATGGTACTGCCCGTGCTGTCAGGAAGGGTCTCAAGGACATGGTGACTGTGGTCCACACTTAAGTGGAAAAAGCCAAACCTAAGTGAGATATCCCACAAAACCAAGGGCAGCTGAGGATGAAAGGTAGCCCTCTGTCCTTGAAGGCTGTGATCTGCACAGAATCTATCTACTCAAGAAGGAAAGAAGCCTGGGGATATGGTTCATTGGTGGAGTGCTTGCCTAGCATGCCCAAGGCCCTGGGTTCTATCCCCAATTTCCAGCTCTGCAAAAAGAGGAAGAGGAGGAGGAGGAGAAGGAAGAAGAGGAAGTCATGCCCACTCCCCTGCAAACAAAAACAAAAACAGAAAGGAGGGGCTGGAGAGATGGCTTAGTGGTGAAGGCACTGGCTGTTCTTGCAGAGGACCCGGGTTCGATTTCCAGCAGCCACCTGACAGTCTTAACTGCAGTTCCAGGGAATCCAACCCCCTCTTCTGACCTCCACAGGCATTGCACAACACAGTGCACTTATATACGTGCAGACAATACACTCATACACATAAAATAAAAACATAAATAAGAAAGGGAAGGAAGAAAATTCCTAAATCCCTGGAACATGTCTAAACACAATCTCAAGGAAACACTGACTAGAGGGGTTAAAAAGTGAAGGTGTAATGAAACCTTACACCAAAAAAACCATCATGATTTACTCAGTTCCCGATACCCATCTCAAAACTAGCACTTCCCTGGAACTTGCTCTCCCATATACCCCTAGTGCCTCACAAGAACAGTTTGTCCTGTGTCCCACATCACTAGCTCTCAAAGAGCCTATCTGTGTTCTCAGATCACTCATCCCTGCCTATATATGCCTTATATCTACCTGTGGCTTTACCAAGGCACACCAAGTGCACACTTTCTCAATGTAAGTGTTGGCTATGTAGGGTCCCTGCATGTGTCTGTCTTCATTTGTACAAAAGTGCCATATAGGCACTTTGTACCCCCAGCTTCTGGGACATTCTAGAAATGTCTGTCACATGGTGGGAGCTCAGCGTTTCTTCAATGAAACAGTGAATGCCTGAAGTTGTGCTGAAACATTACCCAGTTTGTCTGAACACCGCACAGACCTGGAGACAATGTAGGGACCATGATGCTGCTTTAGAGGGCAGTGCTCTCAAACTCTCACCTTTCTGTATTGGGAAGAATATCAACTTCAGGTTGAATTTCCAGTTCCAGCTGTAGCCAATCTCTGTAAGTTAACTGAGACATAGAAATTTAGTGCAGGGAGGAGAAGACAAAAATCCACTAAGTTCATAAACATTTGTCATTTTTATCTTAAAAACAAAGACCCGTGCCCATGTTATAATGACATGGAGAGCTGATGCACTGTGGAAACACTGTTTACAAACTCTCAATGTGAAACTAAAACTGTTGGAACTATACATTTTGTTTGTTTAAGACAGGTGTACTTTGTACCTGAAGGCTGGCCTAGAACTATGAAGCCCAGGCTGGCCACAAACTTCTGGAAATCCTGCTTCAGTTTCCAAAATGCAGAAATTATATACATGCCCTATCACACCAGGCAAAACTGGTTTTTAAACTAGCATACTATTAGTTGTGAACAATTAACTTATGGGCTCTACAAACCTATTCCCTGCTAGATTATTATGCACTAAGAAAATATTTTCTAGGTCATGAGTAAGGGGAACAAATCTTGATGTGATGACATGCTTCAAACCATCATGGTGGCTTATAGTTTCGTTTTTAATTATTTATTTGGTACTGGGAACTGAACCTAGGGCCTCACATGCTAGGCAAGTGTTCCACCACTGGACTATATCCCCAGCCTGAGTTGGTATTTTATTTTTAGGGGGAGCAGTTTATATCTTCTATGAAAATTCTTAGAGCAATTCCAAAAATCTATGTGGCCTAATCTCAAGAACTTTTACTTCCCATGAAAAGAAAAGCATATCACAGAACATCCCTGCACACCCTCCTACTTGGACAGAGGCCAAGGCAGGCAGCAGCACATATATGATGCAACCAAGAAGCAAGGCTACAAACTTCCAAAGATATGACAGGGCCCTCTGAGGAGTCACTAATGCACCCAGCTATCCACTGCGTCATCTTTCCTCACACTGGACATAGTACCATACTTACCCTTGTAAACTGATATAGCTAACCACAAAAAAAATGTGATAAAACAGCTTTTTTCCTAAACCAGGCAAACGCACTAGGAAATAAGGACCATGGTCTGTTGGTGGGAACAGTGCCAGTCTCCAGTTGTTGGAAGCACAGAAAAATCAAGGCCCCACCACAAGAGTTTTGTGAAAAGTCAACTGTTGGAAGAAACTGGGCAAAGCACAGCAAGGTCTCTCTGTAGTGTTTCTCAGAGTTTTAGTGACCTAGTAAAAGTTTCAACCAACCAAGTGTTACTCTGGTCTTTTAGGAGACACACAGCGAGCCCTCTCACATGTGCCCAGAGACGCAGGCCCTCCACCCCCAACACGTATTGGGGTCAGGGCATGTGACATAGTGGAAGACATGAAGACCTACATAAAACTCCTTCTTCTTCAACAGCTCTTGGAAGCTGTCCCATCTCCACAGAGAAAGTGCAGCACTCTGCCAGTCTGTAGAAGAAAGGTACAAGGGTCTCCAGAAAAGGCCATCTGTGTTCTCTGGAGGGCCAGGGGCTCGGGCTTCTGAGAACAATCTGAACATAATGAACTGAAACTGAAACAGACAGTTCACAGTGAGAGGAAAACATTTGCAAGGATATGCCAAGAGAGCCACAGTACTGTGGCCAATTGATATTAATATTTTCCCTTAGAACTACACCAACTAGACCAGCAAAATATTTTATCAATGATACGTTACTAGCATGTCTTTGCCTGTGAGGGAGACAGATAGGACTCTCTGCCCTTGTGGCTGCTCTTGCAGAGGGCCTGAGTTGGGTTCCCAGCATCCTCAAGGCATCTAACACCTGTCCATAACTCTAGTTCCAGGGGTCCCAGTGCACTCTTCTGGCCTCTGTGGGTTTATACACATGTGGTGCAATTATATACATATACATATACATACATACATACATACATACATATATATGTATATGTATATATACGCAGGCAAAATATTGATACACATAAAAATAAAAAATTAGAGCCAGGTGTGGTGGTTCACGCCTTTAATCCCAGCACATGGGAGGCAGAAACAGACAGACCTCTGTGAGTTCCAGGCCAGCTGAGGGTATAGGGTGATTCCTTCTCAAAAACAAAACAAAAACAGGGTCTCATGAAGCCCAAGATGGTTTTGCTGCATAGCCAAGAATTTTGATTCTCCTTTCTTCACCCTCAGTATTGGGATTACAGGTATGTGCCTCCACATTTGGTTTTATGTGGTACTGGGGATCAAATCAAAAGGTTTGTGCTAGACAAGCATTCTACCAACTGAGCTATATCCCCAGCCCTATTTTTCTTTAAGACTTATTTTCATTTTTATGTGTGTTTATGTATGTATGTATGTATGTATGTATGTATGTATGTATGTATTTTTATGTGTGTTTATGTATGAATATATGCATACATGTGAGTGCAGGTGCCCACAGAGGCCAAAAGAGAGTATTGGATCCCTTGGAGCTAGAGTTATAGGTGTTTTGAGCCACCCAATATGGGTGTTAAGATCCAAACTCTGGTGCTCATGATAGAGCAGCAAGCACTCTTAACCACTGAACCATCTCTTCAGATATATATATTTGCATTCATTTATCTATTTTGTGTTCATGAAAGGGCTTGTGTAGAAATCAGAGAACAACTGTGGGAGTCTAGTCTCTCTTTCCATCATGTATATGAATTATAGTTATTGCACTCAGTTCCCCAGGCTTGGCAGCAAGCACCTTTACCCACCTATCTTGTTGGCCACTATTCTTTTTTCTTTTCTATTTCTCCCTTTTCTATTTCTCCCTTCCTTCTTTCCTAGTACCCACATTGGACAGCTCATAACTGCCTGATAACTCCAGCTCCCTAAGGTCCAATGACTCAGACTCCTAGTTGTTGGGGTTAAGGGCATGCACCACCACACCCTACTATATATTCAAAGGAGTAGCATATACTTATAGTTGTTATCTTAGCCCCAATTTAAACTCAGAGAGAAAAGAAACAGCAATGTTCTGCATGAAAGACCCCCCCACCCAAGCAGATAGCGAGGCTGGCCTAGAGACAGTCCAGTACGAAGTGCAGCCATACACTGATATAAATGCCAAGCTGCACAGGTCAGAGACCTTTAGATCAAAAAACAGGAACCTGAAAGACCTACCTTTTTGACTAGGCCTGGAGATAAATTGTGTAAGGCATCATCGGATTTTGGAGAGAACTTGCACAAAAAGTAAGAAATTGCTGCTGTACAGAATCTGAAAATAGAAAACAGTATATACTATTAATCCTAGCATTTAGGAGGCAGAGGCCAGTTTGGTCTACATAGCAAATTCTAAGCTAGCCAGGATTATATAGTGAGACTCTATCTTTCAAAAAAACCAGTTAAGGGGCTGGAGAGATGGCTCAGTGGTTAAGAACACTGACTGCTCTTGCAGGGGACCGGAGTTCGATTCCCAGCACCCATATGGCAGCTATGAACCGTCCTTAACTCCAGTTCCAGGGGAATCTGAAGCCCTCTTCTGACCTCTGCGGCACTGCACGACATGGGTACACTAACATACATGCAGGCAATACACTCATACACATAAAATAAAAATAATAAAATGTTAAAAAAAAAGCAGTTAAGGCCGGGCATGGTGGCGTACACCTTTAATCCCAGCGCAGGTAGATCTCTGTGAGTTCGAGGCCAGCCTGGTCTACATAATGAGTTCCAGTGTCAAAAAGACCAAAAAAAAAAAAAAAAAAAATAGTTATAATGTACAATGTAATTCATACAAAACTGAGATAAAGGAAAAGTAAGTTGAATTCAAAGAACTGAATTTAGTACATCTCAACTATATGGCTTGAGTGCCACTCTTTTGTTTAAAGAACTATTGGGTCACCTTGGTTTCAGGGTCCTTAAGTAGGAGTTGCTGTCTCCAGAAACTCACATCCACACCAGGGCTGAGGCAGGAGAAGCATATAGCAACAGTGTGAGCAAGGGCACATGTTTCCTGGGTATTTGAGGCCACACCAAGACACAAAAGGAATGAAGTATATACTGCCTGGGTTTTGGATCTGTCAGGGGGCATGGCATTCAATAAGCAGCACAGCTATGAAGATTGGTTTTTAAATACCTCTAAGCTCAGGTAAGTGTCACCTGTGTTATTTTGTGAAAAGGAGTCTGAAGAACTATAAAGAAAACATATTCCATGTCTTGGGAGTAGTATTTGTGTACAGAGTAAACAAAACTCTTAGTACAACCTCATGTACACATGGTGGCTTTGGCTTCTAGACATGACCAGTTAAGATAAAGTTTGCAAAGGAGAAGATGATATAGAACAGAGCTAGACCTTGAGGACCATGCTGGGCTGGTATCAGCATTCATGCCTGGGCAACCTTCACAGCCATCCTAAGGTACCCACAAATGACAAAGGGCAAAATGAGATAACCTACACCAAGAAATAACGGGCAATGATACATGAAAGTTAAGTCCCAGTGACCACTGCGCATCAGAAGATCCATGAAGTACAGATGACTGAAATAGTCATAGCCAATAGGAAGCCACAACCACACTGACCCACTGTCCTGAGTTTCTTCTCACACCTCCCCTCTTAAGCAGCAGCATTGGCATTATAGTTCAATATTCTATTCTTCCACCTGACTGCACCCTGAGGCACCCTTGTGTTAGCAAGAGACAGCTTATTCTTTCACTTATTAGAGGGTGCTTTCTCATCAGGTCTCCACTGGGCATCTAGCTGTTTCTGTGTGTCTTTTGAGACAGGGTCTCACTATGTAGCCTTGGCTGGCCTAGAACTTGCTATATAGACCTGGGTGGCCTGGAACTCACAGAGTCTCCTGGCCTGTCTCCTCACCACAGCAGTCATATGGCTCCTGAGACAGCCCCTACCCCCCAAGTCTAAAGAAATCATGACTCTCTGAACAGTGCCCAGAGTTTCCTTCCTGCTTAGCACCTTCCTGCTTCCCTGCAGGCTCCTATTCCCTCTCAGCATTGATCAGGGGGTACTCCATGCTCACTCCTGACTTTCCTAAGAGAGCTCTCTGGGGCAAGCACAGCTCTCTGCAATTTCCTGTTGATGTGTGCTAGCATTAAGGGGCAGAAGAATGCATTTAAGACTCTTAAAGATGGGGCTGGAGAGATGGCTCAGCAGTTAAGAGCACTGGCTGCTCCCAGAGGACCTGGGTTTTTTTTTCCCCCAGCACCCACATGGTGCTGATGTGGGTTAGCCACAACTATCCATAACTCCAGTTCCAGGGGGATCTGCTGCTCTCTTCTGGTCTCCATGGACACTATACACATGGAGTATATTTACATACATACAGGCAAAACACTCATACACATTTTTAAAAAAGGAAAAAAGAAAAAAACCCTTAAAGATGGTATGTTTTTGGGTTTTTTTTTAATCTTTTTTTTTGGAGACAGGGTATCCCTGTAGCCACAGCTAGCCTGGATTTGCTGTGGAGACCAGGCCTGCCTCTGCCTCCAAGACCTGGCCTCAAACTCACAGAAATCTGCCTGCCTCTGCCTCCAAGTGCTGGGATTAAAGGCGTGTGCCACTACACCTGGTGAGTGGGTATGTTTTAAGAGAAATAGTATGCTATTTGCCAAAAGGAAACCCAGAAACCTAACCAGAGGGAACTGGTCTCACTACCTGCCAAAGGGCCCCAAGACAGCCAAACAGCTCTCACCACGGCTGCCAAGGGTAGCATAATGATGTGGAAAGGCATTTACAATCTAGTGTTAATATTAGTAATAGCTTTCAACCTCAGCAGTCCTTTAAAGTAGTATGACTGCCTAGGGTGGTGGTGCACACCTCTAACCCAGCACTTGGGAGGCAGAGGCAAGCAGATTTCTGTGAGATTGAGTGAGACCAGCCTAGTCTACACAGCCATAGTTGCAGGCCAGCTGGGGCTACAGGGAGACCCTGTCTCAAGAAACCTAACCTCCACCCCCAAAATAAATATTATGACTTTTTTTTTTTTTAATAAACACTTATAAATACCTATTAAGTAAAATTCTGTGAGGATACATCCTAGAATGGCAAGAAACATTCCTGTTGCTTGAGTGAGACCAGCCTAGTCTACACAGCCATAGTTGCAGGCCAGCTGGGGCTACAGGGAGACCCTGTCTCAAGAAACCTAACCTCCACCCCCAAAATAAATATTATGACTTTTTTTTTTTTTAATAAACACTTATAAATACCTATTAAGTAAAATTCTGTGAGGATACATCCTAGAATGGCAAGAAACATTCCTGTTGCTGGGCGTGGTGGTGCACACCTTTAGTTCCAGCACTCAGGGCAGAGGCACAGGTGGATCTCTGTTAAAAATGTTATGGTAAGCCAGGTGTAGTGGCATAGGCCTTTAATCACAGCACTCAGGAGGCAGAGGCAGGATGATCTCTGTGAGTTCAAGGCCAGCCTGTTCTACATAATGAGTTCCAGGCCAGAGACCCTGTCTCAAAAAGACCAAAAAGAAAAAAAAAGAAAAAGAAAAGAAACATTCCTGTTAAGCACACACTTTACCACTATACCTCAGCCTTGGTCTTTATAATTTTAACTATTTATTACTTTTCTCAGGAAAGGAAAAATAGTTGTTGAGGAACTTAGAAATGGCTTACTTCATAGAGAAGAGCAAGAATTCCCTGGTGCGGCAGGTCAGGAGACTGTCCAGGAACTCGGGGACAGGAAGGCTGCTGGCACAGGTAGGAATACCTGGCTCCACCTCTGGGAGCATGGATCGGGACTCACCCAGATGGACAGCCAGAGCGGCCAACCCCAGTACCTGAGGGGTACTCAGGCTGGGGCCCTGAAATGAGGACAAAGGGAGATGGCAAAGTTAATGAGAGCCTATTCCCCAGCTAGATGGCTCAAAAACACTGAAAGCCAAAAGAGAGCAGTAGCCTAGGCTGAGTGGCCTTGAGGAGTGGCCTGAGGAGCCAGGAGTCTACCTGGTGACAGAGCAGCTGGCAGAGCCGAGTGAGTACTGCAGGAAGAAGCAGGTGTCCACAAAGGATCCTTACGAAGAGGGAAGCCCAGGGGCTCTGTCTGGAGAGACATATAGAACAAGCCACTGGCTGGTCATGGCCCCATACATCCTTCCCACAACTAATCTAGTCATGGCAGCCTACAAAAGGGTCAGGTTCTTCTAAAAGTGGCCTTTCTGTAACGCAGACCACCAGTCTTCAATGGAGTACCTATCTGACAAAGCTCAGCCTAGTCATCTGCTCTGGGACTAGAGTTTACCGTGCTTGGCCTATGGTCTCAGTTCCCTAGGACAGCTGAAAATCAACCTTACCTGTCTAGGGGCACAAAGCTGGAAGCTGCCATTATGTTCTGACAGAAGGCTGTGAGCAGGAGATCTACAACCTGGGAAGAGACATATCATTATGAGCCTTTGGCCTCCCACATCTGTGATAAGAAGCAGGCCTGTACAAACAGGACTGCAGCAAAGGCTACACTTAATTTTTATTTCTTTATTTTGTGTGTATGTGTGTGAGCACATACCACAGCACATGTGTGGAGGTCAGAGGACAACTCTCAGGAGTCAGTTCTCACTGCCATCTTGTGGAAGACAGGCATTGAACTCAGGATGTCAAGCCTATACCCAAACAGGGTTACATTTAGAAAGAAGGTTATAATTCAAATTGATACCAAATCACTGGACTGAACCAATATAAGTGTTACCACACAAGCTAGAAACTTGAATCTTCAGAGTACCTGGTAGAACAGGTAAACCTTGACTATAAAGGACAAAAGAGTAAATACTATAGGCGTTGGGGGGCTAAAAACAGCCTCTGCCACACCGGCTGCTTTAAAATGTAAAAACAAGCCAGACCTGGTGGTGAATGCCTATAATCGAAGCACTTGGGAAGTAGGAGCAAGAAGATCAGGAGTTCAAGGCCAGCCTGGCTACAAAGTGAGTTTGAGACCAGCCTAGACGTCACGAGACCCTGTCTCAAAAACAAAACAAAACAAAACAAAAAATAGCTCTTAACACACAAACAGGCCAGGGAGGGTTGGTAGAACCTGGTAAAGAATGATGCCTGTGTGTTCAACATCTGACTCCACACTGTTTACATAATCTTAGAAGGAGCTGCAGCCTGCTTCTAAAGCCTCTCTCTCACACACACACACACACCGCTTGGTCCTTCTTCTTGAGTTCGGGAACAAGGACGTTGAGTTGAATCTTCACTCTCTGGAGGCTGTCATCATTACTGTGACCCAAAGCAGCATTTAGCCTTTCAGAAATCACAGCCACCTGAGCAGATAAAACTTCGAACAGAGAAACCAGTTAGACAGGACAGCAAACATGGAAAGAAACAATGTGTAGAAAGTGCCTTGTAGGATACCAGGTAGCATCAGCCACGGGCTGTTACACCCTGACTTGGAGCTTTCTCTGCATGGAGGAAAGAGAGTGGTCACACCGCCCCAGACACAGCCTCCCTCAGCTGTGACTCTTCCATCTGTCTGAACACAAAGCCTCACAGACCCAGGGTCACTGTAGAGGCCCCAGTCCACCACTCAGGCACACAAACTTCTGTTGCTTTGTCAGGGCTAACGTGACATTCATCAGTCTTTTGCTTAGGCATTGGAATGCTTCCTAATATCCTGCAAATACCACATTCTGAGCTGGACATACTGGTGCATGCCTATAAATCCCCAACACTTGGAAAGAGGATCACTTGAACTATGAAGTTCAAGGTCAGCCTGGGCAACACAGCTAGATCCCATATACACATGCACACAAAAACCACATGCAATACCAAATTTTACATAAGCAGCCCAGGAGGCTGTACTCTGACATCTATACACCTGGTGTGAGGAAGGGTAGTGTCAAGGATCTGCAGCTTCAGCAAAGTAGTGCAATAAACAGCTTTGTTAGTGCTTCCCTATGAGGCTGTCTTGGCTTTATATAAAAATCAATCAAAAGTATCTATTACCCTCAATAACAGATTTGGGGTTTGGATGTGGGTTGTGACACAGTTATTCAGGTATTATTTTAACAACAACACAAAAAATAGACTAACACTCATATGGTATACTTATTTTAAGTTGTACATATAATAAAACCTGAGAGTATTGCAAGTTATTATTGATGCCATGAATTGTGTAATTCAGTGGAGTCCCACAGATAGACATTCTGTACTTAGTGTTTCCCCAAAACACTCAGAAACAGCATCAAAAGGGAGAGATCCAGGTACTTAATACTACATTGACTCAGTCAATAACAGAAACTGTTTCAGTTTTTTTCTTTCTACTGCTACTAACTTCAGTTTCTGTCCTCTCTATCATCTGCCCTATTGGGATACCAAATAGCAGAAGATCTGCCTCCTGCCCAGTATGTGACATGTAGTGAGACCATCCCCATCACCTTCAGCACCCACCTACTGGGCAGGTAGGTTTATCTGCCAAATGCTGGGCTGTGGAAATGAAAGGCCAGCCTCTGTCACTGTGATTCCACGCATGCATAATACTCGACCACAGACAGCTCCATCCTTACCGTCATACTGGGTGGGGTCTACCATTGAAGCTCTGAGCTCTTCAAGTGCTGCTGTGAGCAATCCCAGGGGCTCTTCATCATAGCCAGGTTCTGTTCTTGTTCCTGAGGTGGCATCTGAAGCAAGAACGGACAGTTTTAACAATCAGAATCACACTCAATGGGATTCTTATTATTTTTTTTTTTATGTGTATATGTGTATTACCTGTATGTAGGTAAGTGCACCCCTGTTGTGCAATGCCCGCAGAGGTCAGAAGAGGCTGTCAGATCCCCTGGGACTGGAGTTATGGACAGTTGTTAGCTGCCATGTGGGTGCTGGGATTCAAACCTGGTCTTCTGCAAGAATAACCAGTGTTCTTAACCACTCCAGCCCCAGGACTCTATTATAAGAATAAAAATCTCATATACTTGGGGAAATGCTGACATGTACTGTTTTTGGTATTTTTTTTGTTTGTTTTTTTTTGTCAATGCCAGACACAGGCTCTGAGAGTCTTTATGATACTGGGCGCTACATATATCAAAAATAAAGGTGATGGGGGCAGGGGCTGGAGAGACGGCTCAGTGGTTAAGAGTACTGGATGCTCTTGCAGAGAACGCAGGTTCAGTTTACAGCACTCACATGGTGGCTAACAGCCATCTGTAATTACAACTCCAGTTCCAGAGGATACAATACCCTCTTCTGGCCTCCACAGGCATTGTAACAATGGATGCACTTATATACATGCAGGCAAAACACACATATACATAAAATAAAAATAAATTAATTAAAAACAAACAAACACACAAACTGGGTGTGGTGGTACATGCCTTTAGTCCCAACACTCAGGAGCCAGAGGCAGGCAAATCTCTGTGAGTTCAAGGCCAACCTGGTCTACACAGGGACATGAGTTCCAGATTCGCTAGGGATACAGTGAGTCCCTGTCTTAAAATAAATAAATAGCTGGGCGTGGCGGCACAAGCCTTTAATACCAGCACTTGGAAGGCAGAGGCAGGCGGATCTTTGTGAGTTTGAGGCCAGCCTGGTCTACATAGTGAGTTCCAGGACAGCTGGGGCTACAGGGAGACCCTGACTCAAAAAGGTAAATAAATAAATAAATAAATAAATATGGGGCCGGAGAGATGGCTCAGCAGTTAAGAGCACTGACTGCTCTTGCAGAGGACCCGGGTTCGATTCCCAGCACCCACATGGCGGCTACAAACCACCCTTAACTCCAGTTCCTGGGAAATCCAAAGCCCTCTTCTGACCTCCGTGGCACCGCACAACATGGGTGCACTCACATACATGCAGGCAACACACTCATACACATAAAATCAAAATAATAAATAAAAATAAATAAATAAATGTTAAAAACATTGGGACTGGTGGTGTAGCTAGCTCTGTGGAAGAACCATGTGCCTATAATGTACAAGGTCCTGGGTTTAATTCTTACCCATGCACAATGTTTTTAAAAAAAAATTGACAAGTTTAAGGGTTAAAAAAAGTGGTATATGACTGTGAAAAACATATGTAATGAAAAATGACCAGCAGAGCCCAGGATGAGAGGTGAAGGGTGGGGTCAAAATCATAGACAGATGACAATTTATTAAACTTCTCAAACTTCTAAGTAACAGTTATACTGTCTTTACAATAGGATGTGAAGGAACACTAAGAGTCAGTACTGGAGTGACTCTAGCCTTTAGCTCACAACTAAAAGACTCATTAAGATCACATATTTGTTATGCCAGGTGTGGTGGCTCGCCTTTAATCCCAGCACTTGGGAGGCAGAGCAGGGGGATCTCTGTGAATTCAGGGCCAGCCTGGTCTACATAGTGAGTTCTAGTCCAGCTAGGGCTACAGGGAGACCCTGTCTCAGGAAAAAAAAAAAAAAATCACATATTTGTAAAAAACACTGGTTAAAACCTCCCCACACATTTTAATTATATAAAGGAAGACATACAATATATGTTTTAAAAGAAGAACAGCCAGATGGTGGCACATGCCTTTAATCCCAGCACTTGTGAGGCAGAGGCAGGCAGATCTTTGTGAATTTGAGGCCAGCCTGGTCTACGTACTGAGTTCCAGGCCAGCTGGGGCTACAGGGAGACCCTGTCTCAAAAAGACATAAAAAAGAACAAACGTCAGTGATATGGCTCAATGTGTAAAGGCACCTGTTGCCAAGGCAACTTGAGTTAAAGCTCCAGAATCCATATGGTGATTCTGAAGGAGAGAACCAATTCCTTCAAGTTGCCCTGTAACCTCCATATACATTCACGAATGTGCACACACCACACACATGCATACACACAACACATACACACACACAAATAAATGTCAAAAAATAATTCTAGAGCCCAGAAAAGATACAAGCATACAAATGTATTATACACATGTCTCCCCAAAACTGAAAGTAGAAATCATAAGTTCTAAGGTTCTGTTCTTCAGTCCTATTAGATGTTAACAAAGAACATCCTAGAAGTCTCCAAAGGAGATGCTGTGTGCAGGAGGACAATTCTCATTATTAGCAAACCCTGACACCACATGGGCACATCTCCAGAACAAGTTCAGAAGATCATGTACTTTATAAGCCTACTGTGATGGTTAGTATTAATTATCAACAGAATTTAGGACCAACAGGGAGCTGGGTCTCTGATTATGCCTGTGGGCAATTGTCTTGATTACCTTAATTGATGTGGGAAGACTATCTTAATTGTGGGCAGGGTAATGCTCTAGGCAGGGGATTTGAGACTGTGTAAAGTGGAGAAAGAGAGCTGAGACTAGCATGCATTCATCTATTGCTTTCTGCTTTTTCTTTCTTTTTTTAGTCTTTTTGAGACAGGTCTCCCTGAAGCCCCAGCTGGCCTCCAACTCACAGAGATCTATCTGCCTGCTTCTGCCTCCCGAATGCTGGGATTAAAGTTGTGTGCCACCACACGTGGCTTGCTCTCTACTTCTTTACTGCTGATATAATGTGACTAGCTGCCTCAAGCTTCTACTACTGTGCCTTTCCTGGCAAAGATAGAACCTTGAATTGTGAAATGAAATAAATTCTTTCCCCCTTAAGTTGCTTTTGTCAGAGTATTTTATCATAGCAACAGAAAAGAAATAAGGCATTCACTTTAGTCCCTGGGTGTACTGCTGTGATAAAACACTATGACCAAAAATTGACTTATGAAAGAGTTTATTTTGGCTTATGGTTCAAGAGGGAAAGTCTATAATGGTGGAGAAGGCATGACAGCAGAAGGCCAGAACAGGAAACTGAGAGATCACATCACATCAGATGAGGCTTAAGCCCACCCCCACTGATGTACTTCCTCCAGCAAGGCTACACCTCTCCAAACAGTGCCACCAACTGGGGACCAAGTGTTCAAATACCTGAGTCTATGTGGGACATTTTTCATTCAAACCACCACTATGGGACTGTATGATTGATGAAAGCTCAGTGCACAACAAGAGAGTCTGTACAGAACCAGAAACCAAGAATAAAGTTAGAACAACTACTGGCATACCGAACCTTACAGAAGTCAGAGGATATAAAAGGGTGTGATTCTTGGTAGGTTAACCAGGCTCCAGTGATGAACCCACACTGAAGGGCATTTGGGGACACAAATTTGACTCTGTAAGCCTTAATATATAATATACATATAATACAGTACACGAACTTGGGTAGTAAGGGGGATGCAGACAGGAGAGGGGATCTAAATACAATCAGAAGATAGTCCATGAAATCTGCAAAAATTCTGTTTAAAAAGGACACACACACACACACACACACACACACACACACACACACACATCACCAAAATATTTTCAAAAAGTAGCTTTTTAATATACCAGTTACATGCTAAAGAGATCAGGAAAATAGCTCTGTTCACAATAGCTTCAAAAATAAAACACATAAAAAATTAACAGGGTGCTGGAGAGATGGTTCAGTGGTTAAGAGCACTGGCTGTTCTTGCAGAAGACCCAGTTCAAATCCCAGCACCCACATGGTAGCTAACAACCGTTTGTAGAGGATCTAACACCCTCTTCTGACCTCTGAGGGCACTACACAAGATGGGTATACTTACACACATGCAACAATACACTCATACACATAAAAATAATTTTTTAATGAAAATAAAAATACTCTTCCTTGCCAGGCATAGTGGTGCATGTGTTTAATCCCAGCACTGAGGAGGCAGAGGCAGGTGAATCTCCATGAGTTCAAGGTCAGCCTGGTTTCCATAGGAACTTCTAGGTCAGCTGGAGCTACAGGGAGACCCTATCTCAAAGACCAAAAAAAAAAAAGTCTTCTGAGTGCTAGGATTAAAGGCATACACCACCACACCTGCCTACATTTTTTTAAAAAATATTTTTATTATTTTTATTTTATGTATACAAGTGTATTGCCTGTGCACCTGTGTCATGCAATGCTGTGGAGGTCAGAAGGCGGCTTCCGATTCCCCTGGAACTGGAGTTAAGGGTGGTTTGTAGCTGCCATGTGTGTTGGGAGCTATTATTTTAAGCACAGCCATTGTGTGCACTGAGCTGTGGCAGGTTGCCTTAACTCTAGAGTTTGTGTGTTTTGCACACAAGTATCGAATTGTTCTGCCAAATCAGGAAGAACGTAGTGGTATTCTAGGGAGGAGGGGTAAATGGTTGAATTCACAAGTATTTGACCGTTCCTTGACTCTCAAGAGGAGGTGGGAAAAAAGAGCTGTTGGCGCCAATTCAGCTAAGCAAAGCTGTGGCTATCTGATGTTCTACTGGATAAAAAGGCTGAGCTAAAATAAACCGGGGCTGCAGTCTCTACTGACAGTCCTCCCAAGTGTCTTTCTCTGTTTCTTGTTTTTCTTTCATCCTCACTCCCCCTTTCAGGTGCTGTTCGTCTTGGCTGGCTAGCACCAGCACATGTGGGTGCTGGGAATCGAACCCGGGTCCTCTGCAAGAGCAGTCAGTGCTCTTAATCGCTGAGCTGTCTCTCCAGCCCACCCATCTACTCTTCCGTTTTAAAAATTCCATTTCCCTGTCTCTATTTTTTTATAAAATATTTTATTTATTATTTTTATTTTATGTGTATGAGTCTATTGCCTGTATGTATGTGAGTGCACCCATGTCGTGCAATGCCGTGGAGGTCAGAAGAGGGCTTCGGATTCCCCTGGAACTGGAGTTAAGGACAATTCATAGCCGCCATGTGGGTGCTGGGACTCGAACCCGGGTCCTCTGCAAGAGCAGTCAGTGCTCTTAACCACTGAGCCATCTCTCCAGCCCCTCCCTGTCTCTTTTTAAAAAACAAAAATTTATTTATTATTTTTATTTTGTGTATAAATGTATTGCCTTCCTGTGTATAAGTGCACCCATGTCATGCAGTGCCCTCAGAGGTCAGAAGAGGGTGTCAGATCCCCTGGAACTGGAGTTATAAACAGGAGTCAGCTGCAATGTGGATGCTGTGAATCAAATCCAAATCTTCTGCAAGAGCAGTCAGTGCTCTTAACCACTGAGCCATCTCTCTAGCCCACAAATACCTTCTCTTAATGGCATCTCTCATTGTTGCTCATGCTAGATGACAGAACTAATGCACTGAAGGGGGTTGGGACATGCCAATGATACTTTGCAGAGATGCCTCAGTACCAGTGTTTCATTGATCACAGCTTCCGAGAACCCACAGAATCCATCACTATTCTCATAGGCACAAAGATCCCCAACTCACTTACAAGCCAAACTGTCCAGTCAGAAAATGGTTGCATGCAACTGTCCTAAGCTGTGTGCTTTGAGATACGTGTGAAGATGCCACATAACAAGGTGGGCTTCTGAACTATGCTTCCTAGAAGGTGTGAAGTTAGGTAACTGTCAAGGCCTCCAAGTTGATGAACCTGTGAGGTATTAATATTGTTTGTTCCCCAGGTGCCATAGTCAGGCTGGTGCCAAAATCACAGGCCTAGGTGAAACACACTCTGACCACTGAGGGCACTGATGCGGGTATTGGGTGACAGAAACAGAAAGCACAGGAACAAAAGGTGGCCACAAGCCTTACTTTCAGTCTGCTTCTTCTCAGCTGTGGCACATGCCTGGAAGTAGGTGTCATACAGCGATGAGGGAATCTTATCTGTTCTAGATCAAAAGAAAGCAATGTCCAAGTCAACTATGATAATTCTTAAGTTTGTATTTCCCAAACTATCACAACACTGTACACTGTACTGTTCTATGTTTTACTCACATTTTATGGTGTTGGGAATTGAACCCACTAGGCAAGTACTCTACCACAGAGACATATCTCCTGGCATTTAACTGACTTTAGAAGAAAAAAAATTATATGTATGATTTTAAAATTATATGTGAATTAAGTGGTACCTGTTTTATAACATGTCACATATTAATAATAAATGAATAATAAAAAAAAGTTGTTAGAAATATGCAGGCAACACGTGGTATGCAGTCTGTGATTGCCACCAGGCTGTATCTCCTACAATGATTCTAGTCAGTCAGGTTTCACTTTGGAGCACTGCCTCCTCCTGTCTGAACTGTGCCGATCTCAGATGGCAGGGGACTTGCGGTGGCCTAAAACACCATTTCTTCAGGATTTTTGCACTGAACTCTTTTGTGTGCATTTCCAGTGAGGTACAGTGGAATCTCTGGGTACATGCAACAGTCCTGTCTGTACTGTCAAGTGTGCAAACAGGACAATACCAAAGTGGTGTTTGGTCCACTACTTGTGACTTAGTGGTTGCTGCCAATGCCACTGCAGCACAGACAGTCCCAGCTACTGTCAAGAGTTCTACATTGTATGAACAACACTATGTCAGTGAATTTATAAACTTAGATGAGGTCTGGAGATACAGCTCTGTGGTAGAGTACTTGCCTGACATATACAAGGTCCTGGGTTCCATTCCCAGTACCACAAGAAAAACAATAAACAAACCTAGATGAGTTTTATTTTTAAATTTTATTTATTTATTTAATTTATTTATTTATTTTGAAGACAGGCCCTTCCTTTAGCTCCAGCTTTTATTTATTTATTTTTTTTTTTTTTTTTTTTAAATTTTGAAGACAGGGCCTTCCTTTAGCTCCAGCTCACCTAGAACTTGCTATATAGACCAGGCTGACCTCTGTCTCCTAAGTGCTGGAATTAAAAGCATATGCTAACCATGCCCAGCTTGAAATAAAGTTTCATGGAAAGCTTTTTTTTTTTTTCTTTTTGAGCTAGGGTCTCCCTATAGCCCCAGCTATCCTGAAACTCAGAGGTCCGCCTGTCTTTGCCCCATGAGTGCTGGGACTAAAGGCATGCGCCAGCACGCCCATCAGGCTTTGATTTTTTTAAACATACAGTGCTTCATGAATTTGCCTGTTATCCTTATACAGGGGCCATGATAATATTTTCTGTATCATTCCAATTTTAGTATATGTTCTGCCAAAATACTCATGATTATTTATTTTTATATGTTTGAATATACTGCCTGCATGTATCTGAACGTACCAGTGTCATGCAATGTCTGCAGAGGGGAGAAGAGGGCATCAGATTGCCCTGAAACTGTAGTTAGAGTTGTTGGCCACCATATGGATGCTGGGAATTGAACCCGGATCCTCTGCAAGAACAGCCAGAGCTTTTAACCACTGAGCCATCTCTCAGCCCCTCATGATTATTTAAATAGGTGTTTTAAATTGGTCTCTATTTTTCTACTTAAATTCTTTTATTAATGTATTTCAGTTTCACATATGTACAGAACGCACATTGACTACTCTTGTCTCCTATCTTTTCCTATCTCCCTACCCCTATCCAGTTCCCACTTTCCTATAAATCTCTTTTCCATGTGCACGTCTGTTGTGTTTTGTGACTGAGTTTACTCAGGGTTGTCATGGGTTTGGAGGCTCTCTTGGAGTCTGGCAGGCTCAGCAATGGGTACATCACTGGAGACAATGATGCCCTGTTTCCCAAAAACTATCAATATCCAATAGTTCAGCAATGAGAGGTATGGCTCTATGAACCCCTCCTCCTTCCATGACTGATTGCTGACAAGGTTGTCTTATGTAGGCCCAATGCAGGTGATTGCAGTTGTGAGTTATAAAGGATGGTGTTTTCACAGCCCTTTATCCCATCTTCTGGCTCTTACATACTCTAAGCCTCATGAAACATTGTGGGAGTGAGGGTAAGAAATATTTGAAATATTTTTATATCAAAAATAAGTACAAGGCTGGGCATGGTGGCACATGCCTTTAATCCTAGCAGAGGGTGGCAGAGGCAGACAGATTACTGTGAGATCAAGGCCAACCTGGTCTACATAGAGTTTCAGGCCAACTGGGACTTCAAGGAGACCCTGTCTCAAACAACAACAACAAAATAAAAAAAAACAAACAAACAAACAAAAAAAAAAAAAAAAAAAAAAAAAAAAAAAAAAAAAAAAAAAAAAGTAAGGGTCAGGCATGGTGGCACATGCCTTTAATCTTAACACTCAAGAGGCAGAGGAAAGTGAACCTCTGTGAGTTTGAGGCTAGCCTGGTCTATATAGCTAGTTCCAGACAAAACTACATAGATTGTCTCAAAGAAACACATACATAAACAACGCACTGGGGGTGGGGACACACTGGACATAGAGTAGTAGCCTCTTTGGAAGCGCTTGCTTACCTCCTTAGGGACTCTATAAAAGCCACTCGGGAGTCAGGAACCTTTGGGAGCTATGAGAAAAAGAACCACATGAGCAGCACAGAACACCGTGGTTTCCCAGAGGTGCTGATAGATTTTGAACATGCACACTTACCACTCTTGGTGTGAGCAGGGCAGGGAGGAAGTGGGACAGGTAGTAGGGCCTCCTGAATATGCTGTGCATAGAAAAGCAGACAAAAGTGAATCCAGGAAAAAAGCCCCTTCCACCAACAGACAGCTCAGGGAGCAGTTCTCATTACACAGTTCTGACTTTTGTTTTATTTTTTGAAATTGTCTTATGTAGGTCAGAATGGTCTCAAACTCACTATATAGAAGAGTCCTGAACTCCTGATCCACCTGCCTCCACCTCCTAAGCACTGAAATCACAAGCTGCACCACCAGGCATGGCTAGACTCTAATGTTTGATCATGTTTTTAAGTCTTTTTTTAAAAAAGAATAAACAAGAAAAAAAAAAACAGATTTGTTTTTTTTTTGTTTTTTTTTTTTTTTTTTTTTTTGGTCTTTTTGAAGCAGGGTCTCCCTGCAGCCCCAGCTGTTCTGGAACTCACTATGTATACCAGGCTGGCCTTGAACTCAGAGATCTGCCTGCCTCTGCCTCCCAAGTGCTAGGATTACAGGCATGCGCCATCACACCCGGCTTATTTTTATTTTACGTATGTGAGCGTTTGCCTGAAAGTATGATGTGTACCACCTGTCTGCCTGGTATCCATGGAGGTCAGGTAAGGCTGTTAGATTCCCTGGAACTGGAGTTACAGGTAGTTGTAAGCTGCCATGTGAGTGCTAGGAACTGAAACCAGGTTCTCTCCAAGAATATCAAGTGTTCTTAACAGCTGAGACGTCAGCTCCAGCACCTTAAATCTTCTTTTTCATTGTTCTAGGACATGGCTTGCAAAGGCAGTCTGTACTAGCAATAATGCTATGGTCTGTGAGAGCTAGACCATACCATGTCTACTTTCCCCAAGCCTGGCCTCAGAACCCAGGTTAATTGAAAGCTGTGAGGATTGCTTAAGGGTCATTGTAAGCTTTCTCCTTGGAGGTGATCTCAAAATCCCAAGTCGGGCTCAGTTCACCACAATTCAAGATGTTCTGGGATCACACTGATTTCAATTAAGTTTTATTACTCAATTTCCTGGCCTGGCTCTATTTGGGGCACCCAGAAAGCACTAACTAAAAATGTCCTGATGCTACAGAGGTCCATCATCCTGACACTACATGACTCTAGAAAGGTACCACCCACTGCCTGTTTCAGAGAGGGAGGGTACTACATGCTATCATAGAAGTGGACACAGACTTGCTCTCTATGCTACCTCCAACCTCATCTGGCATGGCATCCACACCTGACTCCTGTTTTCCAGAACAGAATGACACCTCCATCCCATGTCCCATGGACAAACTTGAAGGAGTTCCCACTATGGCATTATGGCAGTGTCTGGATATGCTGTAGTCAACAGCTACTCTATGGCAGCTGGCTCCTGGCCTCCTACCTGGCCTCCATGACAGGTACTGGGATTCTCCCTGTGTGTTCAAATACCACAATGGCCTTCTCAACATCCTGGATCGCTTGGCTGTGAGGCTGGTTTCATACAGAAAGGGAGAGAGAATGAATGAAGATTTGAAAGCAAGTGAGCAAGCATATAAAGCTGGTACCACCCTGCTATTCTTTATTGCCAGAAGTCTTTTTTTTCGGTCTTTTTGAGATAGGGTCTGCCTGCAGCCCCAGCTGTAGACCAGGCTGGCCTTGAACTCACAGAGCTCTGCCTACCTCTGCCTCTGCCTCCCAAGTGCTGGGATTAAAGGCGTGCGTCACCACACCTGGCTGCCAGGAGTCTTTTGACAGATTAAAGGTTAAAGCTGAAACAGGTACTGTATAGCCTGGAACATTCAAAGTCCTCCAAGTCCTGCTTCCTGGACCCAGGTGAGCTCTGGAGTCAACTCAGCTCTGAGACACCAGAGCCACCCTTCCGTCTCCTCTGCCTTGATATGAGCCACTTTACTACCTCTCCTCTCTGCTGCCCTTCCAGAAGAGAAGGCAGAAATCTTCCAGGTGGGGAGGAGTAGAAACTTAACTTTCAGATTTCTAAAAATTATGAAATGGCAAAGCTAAGTGTGGTGGCAAATGTCTGTAATACAAGCACCCAAGAGACTGAGGCAGAAGGAAAACGAGTTTAAAGCCAACTTGGGCTACAGAAGATCTTGTCTCAAAAAAAGAAAACAGGGCCCAGTAGGGAGAAAGGCAAGATGGCTCAGTAGGTAAAGGTACTTGCTATACAAGCCTGGAAACCTAAGTTTGATCCCCAGAACCCTCATAAAGATGGAAGGAGAGAACAACTCCACGAAGTTGTCCCCTGACCTTCATATGCACCTCATGGCACACATACCCTGCACCACATCATGCACACGTGTGCTTGTGTATACACACACACACACACACACACACACACACACACGCACACAAAACACAAAACCTGAGCCAGCAAGATGGCTCAATGGATAAAGGCTCTTGCTACCAAACCTGACAACCTGAGTTCAGTCCTCAGGACCTACCTGGTTAAAGGAGAAAAACAATTCTCTCAAGTTGGTCTCTGACCTCCACACATGTGGTAGCATGTGCATATACACATACACACACACACACACACACACACACACACAAATAAATATATTTAAAAATAAAAAAGTAAAGAAAATCAAGTACACTGGGAAATCCTGAGAAGAACCTACTATAACACACGCCTTTCCCCCAACATGGCCATTCCTCCTTGTTACTGTTGTCAAACACAAATTATAAGGAATAGAACAGACAAAACACCTTTGGAAAAACTGTCAACCCAGCCTTACTAGATGTAAACCAAGTAAAAGATTTTAGGGGCCAAATATGCAAATCAAAATAAAGAGAAGTGAACACAAATTCAGGGCTTCAGGGCAATCCAAAGCAGCTTACCTCTACAATGTCCCCAGAGGAGGACAAATCCTCATAGAGTCCCATGTTCTCTAAGGAAACCTTCAGAAGAACAAAACAAACATGAATATAAAGATAACCACTGGGTATTGCCAGGCAGGGCTAGAGCAGTAACCAAACTTGCCTTGAGGTCAGCAAGCCTTGTCTTGGCCAATGAGATGTAGTCTGTGAGGAGGAAGCGGTACTTGCTTGGGACCAGTGGTGGGTGGAAAACATGCACCTACAACAGAATACAGCAGAGCAATAGAGTTCACAAACTACCACATGCCTCTTCTTGGGACACCAGCAGCACATGCCCGTATGTATAGTGATGGCGATGAGAGATGGCCACTAGCAGGTATGAGATATGTAACTTGCAAAATTAAAACCCATAAGAAGCTGGGCATGGTTATGCACACCTCTAATCCCAGCACTCAGGAGGTAGTGACAGGACTGTGTCAAGTTTGAGACCAGTCTGGTCTACACAGCAAGAGTGACATAGCGAGATCTTGTCTCAAAAACAAAAAACAAATACACAAGAGAAAGCAGCCCTTCCAGGGAGAAAATTAAGAAAATTGTGCTATGGTTGGTCCTATGATCAAGGCATGCAAGTGGGAGGGGAACCAAGGGTATGATACACCAGTAACTCCACAGCACAAGACATGGAGATTTTATGATCAAAAGGGACAAAGGACACAGCATGAGACAAACTAGCAGGGTCTACATGAATCTAGTCTGTGGTGCTGGAACAAAGATGGGACTGGAGAGCATGCCTCATATTTTCAGCTGAGTTGAGTTTACAGGGAACTGACCACAGGTAGGAGATTTAGGGAAAGTTGAGTCCAGCAAGGGCTAAAGCCAGACTGTTGAGCTCCACAGTAAGATGCAAGTTCTGAAGACAGGAAGGGAGAGAATTTGTCAAACACAGAAAACAGGGGGTGGCATAGGTGAAATCTAGGTAAGGATCTGCACAAATGGCTCCGTATTTCTGAAATTCTCCATCAGTCTCCCAAATGCAAGGATTACAGAACTTTACCACTCTACCTAGTTTCAAGATTAAAAAAAAAAAATTTTTTTTGACAAAGTATCACTAATCAGCCCTGGCTGCCAGGGAACTATGTCAACCAGACTTTCCCCAATCCTGCAGTGAACCTGCCTCTGCCTTCCAAGTATTAGGATTACAGATATGTACCTCCAGGTCCAGCTTCAAATTAGTTTTTTAAAAAAATTATTATTTGGCCAGGTGTAGTGGCACACGCCTTTAATCCCAGCACTCGGGAGGCAGAGGCAGGCGGATCTCTGTGAGTTCAAGGCCAGCCAGGTCTACATAGTGAGTTCCAGGACAGCTGGGGCTACAGGGAGACCCTGTCTCACAAAGACCAAAAAAAAAGTATTTATTTATAGCCAGGCTTGGTGATACATGCCTTAAATCTCAGCACTTGGGAGGTGGAGGCAGGTAGACCTTTGTGAATTTGAGGCCAGCCTGGTCTACATATTGAAATTCAGGACAGCTGGTGTTACAGGGAGGGAGACCCTGTCTCAAAAAAAAAAACAAAAAAGTAAAATAATTATTTATTATTCTTATTATGTGTGTAGGCATGCATACCATGGTGTGTATGTAGAGGTCAGAGGATAATTTTGTCGAGCCAGTTTTCTCCATCCACCTTTACCTGGGCTCATACTCAGGTTGCCAGCTTATATGATAAGTGCTTCATCCACTGAGGCCCTCAATTCAGTTGCTTTTTTTGGAAGACAGGGTCTTACTCTATAACTCTGGCTGGCCTTGAAGTCACAGGAATCTACCCACCTCTGCCTCTCGAACGCTAGGACTAAAGGTGTACACCACGTACCTGACTTTCAAGACAGGTTTTGGTTTTTTTTTTTTTTGGTCTTTTTGAGACAGGGTCTCCTTGTAGCCCCAGCTGTCCTGGAACTCACTATGTAGACCATGCTGGCCTCGAACTCACAAAGATCTGCCTGCCTCTGCCTCCCGAGTGCTGGGATTGAAGGCATGGGCCACCATGCCCGGCAGTTTTGTTTTTTTAATTTTTAAAATTTTATTTTTATTATATGTGTATGAGTGTTTTGCTTGCATTAATCTAAGTGCACCACATACATGCAATGCCCAGAGGCCAGAAGAGGATGTCAGATTCCTCTGGAACTGAAGTTACAGACAATTGCTAACTGCATATGGGTGCTGGGAACTGAATCCAGGTCCTCTGCAAGAGCTGCCAGTGCTATTAAACGCTCAGCCATCTCTTCAGTCCCTCAAGACTGTTTTGTTTTTTAAATATTTTGTTACTTTTATTTTTTGTATATTGAGTATATTGCCTGCATGTATGTGAGTATACCTACAGAAAACAACCTTCATGATCATGGTATCTCCCCTGCCAGGTAAGTAGTAAAGATTATTTTTAATTATGAAATACAGACTTGCTATAAAAATTCCAACAGTGGGCCATGCATGGTAGTGCACCATGCTTTAGTCCCAGGACTCAGGAGGCAGAGGCAGGCAGATCTCTGTGAGTTCAAGGCTAGCCTGGTCTATATAGTGAGTTCCAGGCCAGCTGGGGAGACCCTATCTCAAAAGACCAAAAAAAAAAAAAAAAGAGAGAGAAAGAGAGAGAAATTCCAACAGTGGAATTTATATAAAGCCATACATTTTTCTGCTCCTGGTAGGAATACCATGTAAGTTTAGGAAGGTATTTCCTTCTAGACTCTTTTATTTTTTTTGGCGGCGGGGGGGGGGTTCTTCTTGAGACCAGGCTGGCCTCATTCTTACGGAGATCCACCTACCTCTGCCTCCCGAGTGCTGGGATTAAAAGCATGCGCCATGCCCAGCAATGTATCATTTTTTTTAAAACAAAAATGGGCAGGGTGTGTAGTCCCAGCACTTGGGAGGCAGAGGCAGGCAGATTTCTGTGAGTTCAACGCCAGCTTGGTCTACATAGTGAATTCCAGGCCAGCTGGGGCTACAGGGAGACCCTATTTCAAAAAGACCAAAAACAACAACAAAAGATCCTACTACACTCACTGCTCTACCACTAGCTCTTCCTCCAGACCATCTTCCCAGGTAGACCTCATCCTTCTGAGAGGCTGTGCGGCAGGCACTTCATTGCATACTGGCATAATACATTCTCTTCTGAGGTGGATGTATGGACACTCCTGGGTGCCTAAGATGGCTCACTGTGCATTAATGTTGGGTATTACCTGAACTGTCTGGGGAAGGGTAAAGACCAGCCCTGGCTCAGTGTGATCTGCAATAGGCTAGGGTGATCTTTATTGTATAGTATACTACAAGTAGAAAGGCCCAGAATGCCGCTGATGGCATCTTACCTTCATGTACCGAGGGGCTTCCCAGGGCACAAGGTCAGACAAGAACTTGAAGAGGAAGACCAGTGCCTTCTTGCTGCAGGTATGGTAGCCAAGTGAGCTCCCAAAGGAGGCCTAGAGAGAGAGAGAGAGAGAGAGAGAGAGATTATAAGCCCTAATAACCAGGCATTGGCACCCACTCTATGGGCTGTGCTGTCCAGCACTGACTTGGTAGCTATGATCTGTCTCAAAGAAAAAACTGCTATTGAAAAAAAAGGGAGAGAGAAAAAGTAACTTGGTTGGGTTTATAGATTTAAAAGTTGTGATAGAGATGGGACCAAAGTTTATTTTAAAGAATTGCTGTAGAAAACAGTAACTCTGGATGGAGGCTCATGTCAATAATTCCAACACTTGGGAGGTTGAGGCAGGAGGACTGCCACTAGGCTACATGGTAAATTCCAGGTCAGACTAAACTAAGAATGAGGCCCTATCTCAAGAAAACAAACAACAAAGAAGATGGAGATGTTGCTCAGTTAGTAGAGTGCTTATCTAGCATGCATAATGCCCTGAAGCAACTCCATTACAAAACCAGGCATGGCACTCCAGAGGTGGCGGCAGGAGACCAACAAGGGAAGGTCATCTTCATCTACCTAGTAAATTTTGAGGCCAGCCTGGGCTTGAGACCCTGTCGAAAAAAACAAAACAAAACAATAAAATACCAAAATAAAAGAAACAAAAATAGTAACCATCGGATACTTCTGGGACTGTTGGGGGCACAATCTGTCCACCTGACAAAAGCTCTTAACTTAGCAAATATGTTCATTTCATCAGCTGAAACTCTCTTGAACACATTAACTTTGCTTCCAAACTCATCAGAACTGGAAAGGTTGCTACATGATAGGCAGCAAAGGAAAAAGACCAAAGATACTGCCTCCCCACCCCACCTAAGGGCATTGAAGTCAGAGAACAAAAATGGAACCACCGCTCCTGAAGTAACCCTGCTACCTATGGATGCTCTGACAGGACAAGGGCTACTGTTGTCATGTGACAGTGCTGTGTTTGTTTCACATGAACCTTCAAGGACAATGTCCACATGTGGGAACTGCCCAACCTACCCCCAAATCACACTACCTCTTGCTGCGCTGGAGCCTCAGGCAGTTACTGTCATCAGGAAATACTGAGCTGCAATGAACTGAAGCCTCAAATTGGCCTTTTTGGAAGCATGCATTTTGCCAAGATCAGGCAATTCTTTTGCATGTTATACCGCAGACACTAAATGCCATCAGACAAAAAGAACTGCTGACAATGTTGAGTATCTGACGTCAGACAAAGCAGTTCAGAGGCATTCAGTTGTCAACTTGACACACCTGGGTAGAGGGAGTCCCAACTGGGGAATTTCCTCCATTGGACTGGCCTGTGTCCATGTCTGTGGAGCATTTTCTTGATTGTGGAGTGATATAAGAGGGCCCAGTCCATGTAGACTATGCCACCCCTGGGCAGGTGGTCCTGTATTATATAAAGCAGGTTGGGCACAAGCTGGGGAAACAAGCCAATAAGCAGCATTCTTCCATGGTCTGTGCTTCATCCTGCCTCCAGGTTCCTGCCCTGAGTTCCAGTCTTGGGCTCCCTCAGTAATGAACATACAGAATGAAAATACAAGCTCATATTGGTCAGAGTGTTTTGTCACAGCAATAGAGAAGGTAAGACAAATACCCAGTGATGAAGTTTCAAATATGCCCTGCTCATTACCACCCAACTCCTACCAGTATTCTCTAACTGCTGGAATGGTCTAATGGAGTCCAAGGCCACCCATACCAACTGCCCTGTCTTTGGACATGTACTTATCTTGACCTGAGCCTTGAGGACACTCTGACTACAGCAAGAACACCTGAACCACTACAAGGACTCACTGTTCACTAGAAGGCCTTATGTAAAGCACAAAGGGACATACACCCAGGTCTGAGGCACAGAGGTCACTGATAATCTAGGACAAAGGCCGTTCTTTTCATTACAAAAAATTATATCTAATTATAGAATGTGACATGCTATGAACAACATTTCTGACCCAAATTAGTAAACATATAGTCTATTTGTATTAACAATTTTTAAAAATATAGATTAAGAGGGGGCTAGAGAGAAGGCACAGCAGTTAAGAACACGGGCTGCACTTGCAGAGGACCTGGACTTGGTTCCCAGCACCCACATGACAACTAGCAACTATCTAGACACCCTCCTCTGGCTTCCATAGGCATTTCATGCACTTACATACATGCAGACAAAACACTCGTACACATAAAATAAAAATAAATAAGTTATATGTGTGTGTGTGTGTGTGTGTGTGTGTGTGTGTGTGCATATACATGGAGGGAGGAAGGAAGGGAGGGAGGGAAGGAGGGAGAGAGGGAGAGAGGGGGAGAGAGGGAAAGGGAAGGAAGGAGAGAGAGAGAGAGAGAGAGAGAGAGAGAGAGAGAGAGAGAGAGCGCACCAGGTGCAGCAGCCCATGCCTGGAGTTCTGGCTATGTGGGAGGCTGAAGCAAGAGGACCACTTGAGCTTAGGCATTCAAGGCCAGGCTGGACAACACAGTTGGCTCTGACTCAAAAAAACACCAACAAAACATTAAGGGTGGTAAAATGGTTCATTCAGTGGATAAAGGCACTTGTTTTGAGCAGGCCTGACAACCTGAGTTCAATTTTCATATTTCACAAGGTGCCAGGAGAAAAAGGACTCCCTGAGAGTTGTCCTCTGACCTCCATGTACCCACTATTGTATGTGCATGCCTGCCTGCACACATGCGCATGAGCATGCATGTGCACATGAGCACACACACACAAAATACAAGTGAAATATTAAAACAGGCCTTCAAACATTGAACACACAAATATAGATCAATCACAACGCACCCAAATATACAGGTGAGTTGGGTACATTTTATTTAAATTATATCACTTTTGATGATACAATGAAATGGTTCAGCAGGTGGAGGTACCTGCTGCCAAGCCTGATGATGTGAGTTCAATTCCTGGATGCCACATAGTTGAAGGAAAGAACCAACTCCTGAAAGTTGTCCTCTGACCTCCATATGCCATGGCATACATATACACTGACCCTCCCACACAAAATAAATAAAGCCTTAAAAACTAAAACGGGGCTGGAGAGATGCTCGGTGGTTAAGAATAATGACTGTTCTTGCAGAAGACCCAGGTTTGAATCCCAGCACCCACATGGCAGCTAACAACTGCCCATAACTCCAGTTCTAGGGGATCCGACAGCCTCTTCTGTCCTCCTCGGGCTGCATGACATGGGTGCACTTACCTACATGCAGGCATAACACTCACACACATAAAATAAAAATAATAAAGTTTTTTTTAAAAAAATTAAAACAGATTGTGTCTTTAAAAAGTATTTTGCTTGCAGGTGTCTCTTTCTTGTTTGAGACAAGGTCTCTTATCACTGCATATGCCAGGCCAGTTATCCTGTGAGCTTCTGGGATTCTCTTGTCTCTACTTCCCCATCTCCCTATAGAAGTGCTGGGACTACAGACGCTCATTATTGTATCCAGCGTTAGGTGTGTTTGGGGGATTTGAACTCAGATCCTCATCCTTACATGGAAAACACTTTACTCAATGAGTCATCTCCCCAACCCTAAATTTTATCTTGATAAAGTGCATTTTTAAAAGTAAAAGGAGGAGCTCTAGCGATGACTCAGTGGTTAAAAGCACTTACTACTCTTCCAGAAGACCAGAGTTTGGTTCTCAGCACCCATGTCAGGCAGCTCACAACTGCCTGTAACTCCAGTTCCAAGGGATCCTTCTTCATGACTCTGTTGGCACACACACAGGCACACACAGAGCATACACACAAAAACAGACAGATACACATAAATAAAAATAAATAAATCTTAAAAAAAAAAAAAAAGTAAAAAGAAAGCCACCATGTCCTCAGAAAGTCCTCCAGATCTATCGCTGGGGAGGAAATTGTAGACCTGATCCAAGCCACTTAGGCTATTGCACTCAGCAGGGCAAAGACCCTCCCAGCAGATGCACAGTATACAAATCTCAGAAAGAGTGTCAGAGGATAACTTTGTGGAGTTGGTTCTCTCCTGCCACCTTTACATGGGTTCCAGGGATTGAACTCAGAATGTCAGGATTGCATGCTAGTACCTGCTAAATCATTTCACTGGCCCTAGGTAACTTTTTTTTTTTTTTTTTTTTTGGGCAGGGTTTCATGTAGTCCAGGCTGGCCTCAATGTCACTATGTAATCAAGAACGACTATGAAATTTGGATTCCCTACCTCTGCCTCCTGAGTGCTGGGACTAAAGGTGTGCGCCACCATGCCCGGCTAGGTAACTTTTTAAGATTTTTATTATTTTTGTTTTTAAAAATTATTTATTTATTTATTTATTTATTTATTTATTTATCGTTTGGTCTTTTTTGAGACAGGTCTCCCTGTAGCCCCAGCTGTCCCGGAACTCACTATGTAGACCAGGCTGGCCTTGAACTCACAGAGATCCGCCTGCCTCTGCCTCCCAGTGCTGGGATTAAAGGCATGCACTACCATGCCCAGCAATTTTTATTATTTTAAATTATGTGCCTGTGGTGGGTATGTGCACATGAGCTCAGGTGCTATTAGATTCCCCTGGAGCTAGAATAACAAGTGGTTATGAACTGCCTGACAGTGGCTACTGGGAAGCAAACTCAGGTCCTTTGCAAGAGTATTATGTACTTTTAACTATTACTGCCATCTCTCCAGCCCCCAGGCCCTAGATAACTTTTTTTTTTTTTTTTTTTTTTTTTGAGACAGGGTCTCTCTGTAGCCCCAACTGGCCTGGAACTCAGAGATCTCCTTGTCTCTGCCTCCCAGTGTTGGGATTATAGGTGTGTGCCACCACACCCAGCCTCCTAGATAACTTTTTAACGTAAAATTTAGGGCTGGTAAGATGGTTTAGCAGGTAAAAGCACTTGCCACACAAGTTTAATGACCTGAGCTTGATCTCCAGAACCCACAGTGGAAAGAACCAACTCCCAAAAGTTGTCCTTTGACCTCCATACATGTGCAATGACATATACATGCCCACACATACATCACACACACATACACACACAGGTACACACATGCAAGAAGTACAAACAATTTAAATAAATAAAAGGCAAATTTAGGGTGAGATGGCTCAGGCAGGTAAAACTGCTTGCTGTGCAAACCTGACAACCTAAGTTCAGTCCCTGGAACCTATGGTGAAAGACAGCTGTACTCACATACTCACTCACCCCACCCCACCCTGGCCTAAACCTGCTTTCTTATCAGTTGGCCAAGGATTTCCCTAAAGGCTTCCACCTGGGAGCACAGACTCAGCAGGCCTGGGATGAATTCATATCTGTACTTTCAAAGCCCTCCCAAGGTAAGTCTGATGTCTGCTTAGGTTCAGGACCTACCGTAGAAGCTTAGAGAAAGTGGGGATGCTGCTGAAGACAAAAAGAGTAAAGAACAGGGATCCTCTGAGGGCAAAGGACACAAGCCCAGGGAAAAAAGAGGCACAGTACATTCCCCACAAAGTTGCAGCCACTGCTTCCACTCTTGCCTAACAGTTTCCTATTAGGGTTTCAAACAGCAGCAGCCTCCCTCTCCCCAACAGGGTCCCATGGACTTTGGATTTTTCAAGCCTAAAAAAGGGAACTGAGCTAGCTGATAAGCACCTTGGCCTTTGAAGTCAAGGGAAGCAGATTCTTCTAAGAGGCATCCTGCCTTTCCTCTGATCTCCAAAGACAAGAAAAGCAGATTCTGCCTGTTAACCAGAGATTTTAGGAGCTGTACAGCAGCTTTTCCTTTATCTTAGGGGGACAAAAAAGTAAACACTTCCTGACCCAGATCCTGGCTGGCAGACAGAATGGAGGCAGGTTTACAAGCCCTGCTTTTCCTGCTTCCCCCTGCCTGATTTTTCCCAAAAAACTTCCCGCCTTCAGCACCCTGAAGCCCCCATATATAAGCCCCAGCTCAGAATCCGTGGGCAGACATTTTCCCTGCCCAGAAGTGAATCTGTCCCATGTGTTCCTTTGCTAATAAAACCCTATTTTGATGGAGTTTTATCTGTGTCCTGGTGCTTCCTTTTCCATTCGCTCGTTCTCTACCAACTTTTTAACCTATCATTTCCCATCTTAGAAAAGTTCTAGAAAAGGAGACTCTGGGCTGGGCTGGGCTTGATGGCACACATCTTTAATCCCAGCATTTGGGAGGCAGGTGGATCTCTGTTGAGTTTCAGGCCAGCCTGGTCTACATAGCAAGAGTGCCAGGCCAGCTGGGGCTACAGGGAGACCCTGTCTGAAAAAGACCAAAAAAAAAAAAAAAAAAGAGAGGAGGAAGAGGAAGGGAGAGGGGAGAGGGGAGGAGGAGAAGAAAAGAGAGAC